TTGCCTATTTACTCAGATACAAAAATCAGTCCCATTGCACTGAGTTATGTTCAGTCCCAAGTTACCGTATGCAGGATCACAACTATATTTCGTAATCATGTTTTTGAGCTTGTGATTCGATTAGATTTTGGGTTCACAATAATCCCAGTAAAATCATAGTGGATTGATTACATACTTGAATCAAGGCCTCTTCAGTTTAATTCCAGTGCTGTAGCCATAACAGCCATTCTTAAATCACATGGCTGCTTCTTTCATTCAGCCCCTATGAACATTGTTGTCTCTTTCATTAATAATAATAATAATAATAAACTGCTGTCAAGTCGATGGCAACCCTATTCAGAATTTTCAGGGTACGTACTACTCAGAAAGTGGTTCACCAGTCGCTTAGCACTTCAAAATCCAGGCTTACTGCTTAGCTTGCCATTTCCCAAAGCACTTAGGGCAAGGGGGGAAAATGCCACCAGTCAAACAGTATTAGGTTTTCCAATATGTTTCTATAATGTAAAGCCGCCTATAGAGCCAGTATGGCACAGTGGGGAATTGAAATCCCAGCCTCTACTACTGAGCTATCCAGCCAAAGTAAGGGAACCTTTTAAAAGGTAAAGGTAAAGGTTCCCCTTGATATTTAGTCCAGTCGTGTCCGACTCTAGGGGGCAGTGCTCAACCCCATTTCCAAGCCATAGAGCCAGCATTTGTCCATAGACAGTTTCTGTGGTCACGTGGCCAGCACAACTAGACACAGAACGCCGTTACCTTACCCTTAAGTAAATGGGAACCAGATTTCTGCCTTAATTTTTTATTATGCTTCAGATGAATGATTAATATGTGGGCAGAAAAACTAATGCAAAATTATATGGAGTTAATATCTTTCTTGGAGTTAAATACTCTTTCAGTGTGATGTAGGAGGTCAGAGCAAAGCATAGAGCAGTTAACATCTAACTTTCTAAGGTTTGCTGCAATAACCGAGTTAAACTATTTCTCACAATCTTGCCAAAATCACTCAACTACTTGCTCAAGGGGAGTCTGTCCTTCAGTATACTGGTTTTATAGCATTCTATTGAAACACATAAACACATAAATGCAGGCAGACAATAAATAGTGTAGGAAATCTTGTGCTTTTGCTTAGCTTTGTGGAGACAGAAATGTCTGTTTGGAACCTGAGTTGCCACAGACACCAGATAACAGATAATACTTTCTCTCTTGTCTTCATCTCTCAAGACATCCAAGTAAACTTAACAAGTCCCGTGGGAGTGAAACAATAGTATCTCTGTATCAGTTGCTTACTGTAAGCAAATTATGGATTACAAAGCAGACTGTTTATTATTAATTATTAATGGTTGGCAGTAAGAAAGCCAAATAAAGACACATAACTTTGTCTGAAGCAGCAATAATGGTTTGATATATATTTTTTGTGCAGTATTTTTTTTCTGGTTAATGGGAAGAGTGTTGAATGGTTAGGAAGAGTTGCTATACATAATACAAAATAAAACACAAATAATTATAGGCACAGTAAGGCTATGGTGGAAGAAAAAGGCTAGTCTTTTTCCCAAAATGGAATACTTTACCCAAGGCTGTTTTCTTTTCTTTTTTTAAAAAGCAGGGGTACTTTTTAAAAGTCTTGTTCTGTCTGTGCAGAAGAATTTTGCTTAGTTGGCATGGGAGATACAGATGATTAAAGTGGTATGGTGGATTTACCTTCTGATGATTGACAGATATAGAAGGATAATTGGATGTAGCTGTAGAGGTCAGTTTCCCTGATTTTTTAAACATTCTTACTCAGCAATTTCCTGAATTGTTATTAGGCACATAGCCTTTCAATCTTGTCCATTAGTCCATAAAGTATCAGGGCAAAGGGGATGATGAGGCATATCCCCTGTTGCAACCTGTAAAAGTAGGTGATATATAGAGAGCTGGCATCTTTTTTTGTGTCATCCTGTGAAGCAAAACATTAGCAATGCAGTTGCCAGAAAAAAAATTGGCTTGGTCTACTTGTGTACCGTTTATAGCAGCTTGATATGCAGGAATTAGCAGGTGAAGCCTTTCAGAGACTGGAGATAAGTATTATCACTCACTAATGTCTGCACAATGATATACTGTTAATAGACCTAAGAGCAAGGGGGTGGGATGAATTTGGCATCCATAATGACCAAACTAGGGTTATAGCTACGTATACTAACATTGCCCATATTTTATTCCCTGTGTCACATCAGCTTGGGTGCTAGAATAAACACAATTTTAAATGGATTTATAGCATCCTGAGGTGATAGATCAAAAATATTAAAAAGGTTACTGGAATAAATGCAAAGGAGAACAGTGGTACTGCATTTTTAAATATGTACATACAGTAGAAAAGGATAGTGTTTTGGCAAGCAGAATACAGTACTGTATGTACATACAATATTACTAGGAGTATGTAATATTTATCTGTCAAAATTACTTCCGATATATAATTGTTTCAAGTGAAAATAACCATATTCTACCGTACAGCTGGTCAGTGGAATCTTTGTGACACCTTAAAGATGACTAATTTTACTACAGCACAAACTTTCAAAGACTGCACCTCATGAGCTGATGCCATAAGAAATGTGTTAGATTTTAAGGACCACACAGGAATCTTGCTTCTGCTGCTGCTGACTCACCACAGATACCATTCTGAAAAGTCAAGGACAGGCTGTGTAGTTCAGGCTGTTTGAGTAACAACACAGTTTAGTTTCAGCAGGAACTGTGGGCTGTATCATTCTAGGATCATGTCCCATTGCAATTGCCCTCTTGTTATTTCATAACAATCCTGATTTGGAACAATTGTTACTTTGTAAAAATTTTCATTCTGTGAAGAAAGGTGTTGTTCTGGCTCTAAAGATGTATTTTCCTGCTACCCTGCAAAGTCATAGATATTTTGTTACTCTTAACAGGTAGCTTGTGGGTTTACTTTACACATGCAAAATATAAGGCATAGCATGCTTTTCAGATTCCAGAACGTATAGAAAGGAACATAAAAAGTAGCAAGTCAAAAGTGTATTTGTTTTGAAACATGGCAAAGCACTTTATTTTTAGAACACTCTTATTGAGGAAAGAATTTCAGACTACTTATCACTGCTAAAAATAGTAACTTGCTCAACTTATACAGCTACTACATTACCACACAGCTCCGTTCATTAGTCAAGCAGGCTACATCTAGCATCACAGATGGTCTTCTGACCCTAGCTTCATGTTGTTATAAAATCTAGACTTTAAATTTTTAAAAAAGTGTAAAATAACTAGTGTTCTGTATTTTGACCATCATAAGGCTTCTGTGAATTTGAGCATGTTTCATTTCAGTGTTGTAAATATAAAGGTTTTCTGTTGGAAAGAACCTTTCTACCCAGGATGTTATATAAAACTAGACGTTTAAGTTCACAAGATACTACCAGGGGCACAATTCACTGAGTTTTGCTTCTTTTAGTCTTTGTTTTCCAAATTAATGGCACATTTGGAGTTTAGTTTTCCCATCAAAAATCAAAGCAATTATTTCTAGACTATTTGAGTTCCAAATGGGCATATGTGTAGTGTTATTATCTCTTAAAAAGAGCAAGAAAGTAATCATCCATTATAGATTTATTTCTAGAATGAAGATCCAACAGATTGGTTCCACATAACCACCACCACAAAAACAACGGCATAAGAGCTCCTGAACAAATGTTGGAGTTACTGGTGATTCAGGGGTAAACCTCACTAACTCCCAAGTAAATATGGATAAAATTGATGCATGAAATTATAGTAGTATGTCTTACATATCAATTTTTAAATGCACATGATGGTGATCTGTTTTCAAGATGATTATTAGTTTTATGTCATAACGTTAATTTCTTTTATTGATGTACTGTACTGCCAAAAAAAAATTGATGTTATTTTAGATTTCTCTTTGAATAAATATGATTGTAATTTTACATATAAAGCCAAGTGACTTCAAGATTGCAATCTAATACTGCAGTGCTAGCTATGCTGCCTTTAGAACTAATTTGAAATCAATGGGACTTACTACTGACTCTGAGTAAACCTGTATGGGCTTATGCTGCAAGGATTTTATATATATCTTTTTTGCATTTTAAGTGTGTAGGTATATATAACGAACTCTTCAATGATTCAGCTCAATTGATATGTTTGTGCTAAAGGCATCCATTATGGTATTGATCATTCGAAATGTATGTTTTAATAATTATCCTTAATTAGTGCTGTGCTGAAAATTTCTCCCTTGTATTGGCATTTTAAACAGTCATGTAGGATGAGATGCCTTGAGGAATAAGTCACTTCATTGGACACATGACATTCTTCTGCTACACCAGACGGGTCTTATTCTTCCGTAATTGTCTCGTATAAGCAGCACACTTTGTACTCACAATCTCATTCAATGAGATTACATTCCAGTACACTAAGTAGGAATTTTGTATGTGTGTTAACAATTCTAGGGAAGAAAGCCAAGATATACTAAAATGTTGAAGGCAGTGGTCAGAATCCTATTGGCGATATATGTTTACTTAAGTGAAAATATGTAGTGGCAAATTGGCACTAAAATGCCTCCAGCCCCCTCTAAAGTTTTGTTCCTTATACTCTGTCAGATGAGGAAAATTTAACCTGCTTACAAGAATACACCTTCAGTGATTTCTATGGTTAAGGGTCTAGATAAATTGGCATTTGGACCACTGTTGGTACGGTTTGGTTCAAACCAAACTGCCATCTTCCACACATGGTTCTACTTAGATCTACCCATCCTGCGTACCTTTCTGGTTCAAGGCTAGGGGCTTCTCTCTCTCTTTTTTAGCACAATTCAGCATGCTTCCAATTATCCCATTGTGTGTCCTATGTAGATAGCTAGTTCATACCCAAATGGAGCTGTGTGCGACATTATCAGAAGTGACAACCCTATGACATATTAGGTGGGTCATGACATTAAAAGGGAGGATTAAGAAACCCTCTCTTCTATTTTTGTCATCATCTTTTTAAAAAAAATATTTGCCTGATGCAGCACAGTTATAATACCATGCTAGGCTGATGCATTGCTTTTTCGATATGTCACTTACTTTGTTTAACAAAAAATGAAAAATAAGAAGAGGAAGGAAGGAAAGAAAGCCACCGCAGCTGGCTGAACGACAGCTGCAAGAAAAAGTGGGGAGTGGAACCATGTTGATGCCATGGGTTCTGCCCCCACAAGGCTGTGCAGCCCCAACACAACCGCTTTCACCACCTGTGTCCTCTCCTACCACCTCCTTACTCACAAATAAACCAGGTAAACTTAGTGAGAACCAAACAACTCCAAATTCCCCCATCTGGACAGGCCCTTAGATTACTTTTAAAATGAGAAGTTTGTTGTGAGAAGTTGCAATGTTTGTTTTTGTGTGTGCAGCCACATTATATGACAGCAAATACCAAAATAGACAAAGTTTTATTAATTAATAAGTGTAGCATTCTCCATTTATTAGATCTATGGTTCTTGTTGTATTATGTAATGGTTTATGAATATTCATGTCGCTGAGAGCCGGAGTCAAGAGAGATGCTATAAGAGGCGGGGTCAGAGAGTCAGAGAGCAGATTAAGGGAGATAGAGTCAGTTAGAGAAATGTAAGAGTCAGGCAGGAGAGAAAAGCCAGACAGAGTAACAGAGTGTGTAGTTTGGGAAATTTAGATGTGATTAGCTACAGAAGATATTTATGAATCTCTGTAATCAATAAACCAAAGTTTTATTTAAAAGGACTTGAAGTGAATTGAATAAATAAATAAATAAGTGTTGACCTGATTCTTTCTGAAGTAATGGTGATACCTGGTGGCAGCAAGTGTAAAAGAAGAGAGTGTTTGCCTTCGTGTGCTCTGAGGTTTGAAGGTCAAACAAAAGGGGCCTGAGGGTGGACGCCACAATAAGAAATAGTATCGATAGTAAAAAAAAAAAAAAAGTCCAAAATCCACGGATTGCAAAGGGCCTTGCATTTTCAGAGAAACAGATCTACCATTTCCCCTTCATTTCTGATAGGTGATGTGTGATACCTGTATTTCTACCAGGGATTCATCAAGCTTGGGATATAGTTCAATTGCATACACTGTGTTTTGAACATCTAGCCTAGTTTTTGAACTTCCATGCCCCCTGCCCACTGACATTTTTTTTTACCACCTAAGTTAATTAATGCTACTGGAAAACCTGAAACTTTGCACACTGTTATAGAATCCTAATTGATCATAACAAAGGTGCTGTGCACTGCCTATTGATTTTGGACTTTGTTCCAGACTATAGCTTCTCCATGCAGTGTTTTTTCTGAATTTTTAATTAAGCGGATGAGTTCCTGGTTTCATTTGTTCCAATAGAATTGACAGCTGCTTTGATTTCCATTGGGAGCTTCCCTTGTAGATACAGCATGTAAATTGGAAAAGTCCTTCAGGATCCAGTTTTATTACTTTTATTGATCTCAAAGACTCCATAGAACCAAATGGCATATCTGAAGGCAAGATGATAGTAAGGGTTTGCATTGAAATTGGTGATGTGTGTTAAATTGCACAGTGACCTTTGCTGGCAAAAACATTTACCCCTTTGCTGTCTTACTGGCCCATTAGTCCCTTTTAGTGATGAATTCTGCACACCTAGACTGTTCAACCCCTTTATGGATTGCTGCCTTGTCATGGTGAAGGGGCTTGAGTAATTCAGAGAAGCTATGGGCTATGCCGTGCAGGGACACCCAAGATGGACAGGTCATAGTGGAGGTAAAGGTAAAGGTAAAGGTTCTCCTTGACAATTTGTCCAGTCATGTCCGACTCTAGGGGGTGGTGCTCATCTCCGCTTCCAACCCATAGAGCTAGCGTTTGTCCAAAGACAATCTTCTGTGGTCACGTGCAACTAATCACGAACGCTGTTACCTTCCCACTGTGGTGGTACCTATTCATCTATTCGCATTTTGCATTTTGCATGCTTTCGAAACACTAGGTTGACAGGAGCTGGGACAAGCAACGGGGGCTCACTCCATCGCGTGGATTCGATCTTATGACCGCAGGACTTCTGACCTTGCAGCACAGAGGCTTCTGTGGTTTAACTCGCAGTGCGACCTCGTGCCCTACTGGAGAGTTCTGATTAACACGATCCACCTGGAGCAGAAAAAACGGGCAAGCCACTCCAGTATCTTTGCCAAGAAAACTCCATGGACAGATACAAAAGGCTAAAAGATACAATGGTGGAAGATGAGCCCCTTAGGTCAGAAGGCATCCAACATGCTACTGAGAAAGAGTGGAGGACAAGTACAGTACAAGTAGCTCCAGAGCTAATGAAGTGGTTGGGCCAAAGCCGAAAGGATGCTCAGCTGCGGATACGTCTGGAAGTGAAAGGAAAGTCTGATGTTGCAAAGAAAAATACTGCATAGGAACCTGGAATGTAATATCTATGAACCTTGGTAAGCTGGATGTGGTCAAACAGGAGATGGCAAGAATCAACGTTGATGTCCTGGGTATCAGTGAACTAAAATGGACGGGAATGGGTGAATTCAACTCAGACGATTATCATATCAAATCTGTTCTTCACTTCCACTGCTTATTCATAAGGGATTTGGTTTAGATTATACTTGACTAGCCCAGTGGTTTTTCCTACTTTCTTCAGTTTAAGTTTGAGTTTTGCTATAAGAAGCTGATGATCAGAGGCACAGTAGTAGTATGTGGATGGAGAACTCCCAGAAGTACAAGCTGGATTTCGAAGAGACCAAATTGCTAACATGTGCTGGATTATGGAGAAAGCCAGAGAGTTCCAGGAAAACATTTGCTTCATTGACTATGCAAAGCCTTTGACTGTGTGGACCACAGCAAACTATGGCAAGTTCTTAAAGAAATGGGAGTGCCTGACCACCTTATCTATCTCCTGAGAAATCTTTATGTGGGAGAAGAGGCAACAGTTAGAACTGGATATGGAACAACTGATTGGTTCAAAATTGGGAAAGGAGTACGACAAGGCTTTATATTGTCTCCTTGCTTATTTAACTTATATGCAGAATACATCATGCGAAAGGCTGAACTGGATGAATCCCAAGCTGAAATTAAGATTGCCGGAAGAAATATCAGTAACCTCAGATATGCAGATGATAGCACTCAGATGGCAGAAAGTGGGGAGCAATTAAAGAACCTTTTAATGAGGGTGAAGGAGGAGAATGCAATATCAAAATAACTACGATCATGGCCACTGTTCCAATCACCTTCTGGCAAATAGAAGGCGGTAGTGACAGATTTTACTTTCTTGGGCTCCATGATCACTGCAGATGGTGACAGCAGCCACAAAATTCAACAACACCTGCTTCTTGCGGGGAAAGTGATGACAAACCTAGACAGCATCTTAAAAAGCAGAGACATTGCCTTGTCAATAAAGGTCCACATAGTCAAAGCTATGGTTTTTCCAGTAGCGATGCATGGAAGTGAGAGCTGGGCCGTAAAGAAGACTGGCCATCAAAGAATTGATGCTTTTGAATTGTGGTGCTGGAGGAGACTCTTGAAAGTCTCCTGGACTGCAAGGAGATGAAACCTATGAATTCTGAAGGAAATCAACCCACAGTGCTCACTGGAAGGACAGATCTGAAGCTGAGGCTCCAATATGTTGGCCATCTCATGAAAAGAGAAGACTCCCAGGAAAAGACCCAGATGTTGGGAAAGTGTGAAGGCAAGAGAAGGAGACGACAGAGGATGAGATGGTTGGACAGTGTTATCGAAGCTACCAACATGAATTTGACCCAACTCCAGGAGGTAGTGGAAGACAGGTGGGCCTGCCGTGCTCTGGTCTATGGAGTCACGAAGAGTTGGACACGACTTAACGACTAAACAACAACAGACTGTTCAATCATGTAAGCATTCAAAGCTGGGTTGCTCCTCTCAGAGGACAGCTTTGATGTGGTAGATTTGAGGAAGTGAGTGTATTCTGGATCTGATGGGAGATATTTGACAACTCAGTGTACCATCACACAGTACTGTGTGGTCATTTCATATACCATCTATGCCTTGAATTCTATCACAAAAGAAATTGTTGGCATAAAAGTAATAATTTAAAGAAAAATTTTTGCATGTGTGAGAGAGAGACAGGAAGCAGGAAAGAGAACGAGAGACTGAGAGAAAGAAGAAAATGATGAAAGTCCCCCTCTTTCCTCTCCCTGTCTCTGATTCTACAAGTGATACCATTACGTTCCCCATTGCTGTAGGATCTAGCTCCTTATTTCCATTTTAACCACAGTAAAGACGGAAAGTATGTTTGTGGCTTCTGAAGATCTTAAGCAGTGAGATGTCATTGGCACAATGGCCAATTCTTGATAATGAATGTTATCATTGCTGTTTTTATTCTTATAGTCAGTATATATTGCATATCTGAGGAAACACATGTACTTTTTTAATTTGAATGATGTAACCTACGGAAGGATTAATGGGTGAGGAATGAGCCAAAATGTTCCAAAAATGATTTCATACATTGTTGTTTCTATAGTCTTTTACTGAATTCAGTCAAGATTCTTCCCATGTTTTAGAGTATAGAATTGCACAGACTTTGACTCCAGTCCTATACACGTTTATGGGGAAGTAAGACCAACTGAACACAGAGGGATCTATTTCTGAAAAGACATGCATGCGATTGTCCTGTCTATTACATAATCAATATACATTCCATTTCTGCAACTGTAATTATGTTGACTAAACAGTAATTTGTCTTCCAGTTAACACAGAACTTTTCTTTTTATTTAGTTGGAGAACACCAGCTCACAGGACATAAAGTAGCAGTCAAAATTTTAAATAGGCAAAGAATTCGTAGTTTGGATGTGGTTGGAAAGATCAAACGAGAAATACAAAACCTAAAGCTTTTCCGGCACCCACATATTATTAAGTTGTAAGTGTTGCTGTTACAGTTTCTTTAGGTGCACCTGATGTATATGTTTTATGAAGTATGGGTTCCATTAGGCATCCCTGTATTGTTGGCATGCTATTAAGATTTTCCAGAGTAATATGTCTAATAAGATTTTCCAGAGTCATATCATTTATAAGCACTTCCTTTCTGAATGAACTTCTGCAAATCTAGTTCAGCATACTTCCTAGTACTTAGGATTTTCATTTCTCTATTTCTTTACCACACTAAATTGGATCCTTATCAGGATTCAATTAGTTGGTTGCTGTCGGATTAATGAGAAGGGATGATAAAATAATTGTTCTCCTGGCCATTTTCAGGTTTGTGATAGGTTTTTTTGGGGGAAGGCTACATTATACTCTTTGCTCATTGACTAATAGAGGGAAACATTGACATAGATTTTTTGTGAATTTCTGGATTTTATAGGAGAATCTGCTGCATAATTCTCAGTTTGTGACCTGAGCAGGAGAGTAGATCTTCGTCCTACCACTGTGGGATGACTCTCCTCAGGTTCAGGTTACACACTTCCCGATGATTGGGCAAGTCTGGGAATTAGGTGTGATTTTTGTGTTCCTCTCACACTTTTGGAGAAGCAAGCCATTCTCGTGTTTGTATACCAGGGAATGTGCCATAGTGAAGAAATCTTTGTCATGCACCCATATCTTTGTCCTGCACCCATTTCTTGTCCTCAGACCAGACTTACACTTGTAAATAGGAATAGTAGTTCTTTCTTCACAGACTTGTGAAGATGGATGGGGTGACACTACTTGAAGTAAAGTAGCAGCTGGGTGAGAAGGAGTATTCTTTATTCTTGTGAATAAAACATCTCTGCCTTTAGCATGGTGCTAGTACACACTCTAGAGTTTCTATAAGGCTAATCTCCTTAATTAACCATTTGTGTTTTATGAGCAACAGTCCTTGTTTTCATACAAAATATTTCCTCGAAAGCAGGAGTGAGCAAACTTTCAAAAGTCTGGAGAGTACATGTGCCAGCCTCTTGGATGGCAGACCAGTGATTCCCACCACTCCATTTTCCCCCCTACCAAAATTGGAGAGGTGATTACTGGAAATGTTCCTCCATATTTTAAAAATGTAAAAGCTTTGGGATTTTTGTTGCAGGGGAGAGTTGCTGGGACCATGTAGAGTCCTTTTTAAGAAGTTTTTTAAAAAAATGTTTGGGGCTCATCATAGGAGTCCATCACTGAGGGGTGCAGACCTATGTATCAAAGGTTTTTGACTCTCGTACTTGGATGTCTTTGTTTTCTTTTGTTGTTGGAAGTTTCAGAATTGTTTTTAAAATATATTTGAACATCCTTGTCAAAGTGAAAGTTAGTCCTATTAGAACTTGGAAAGTTACTTTAGGGAGAAATGACTATATTGACACCCTGAAACCATCTATAACTGAACTAGAGTTGATGCTCTTGGTCTCAAATTGTCATCCAATCTTTGCTCAGTGGTTTCATCATATCATTCACTGTTCTGTAAAGTAATTTCCAAAGGCTTGCTTAAATGACGAAGGCTCATTGAGGAAGGATTCCAATGGATAAAACAGGCTTAAGGGAGGAAAAAAAATTAGACAGACTCATTTAACAAAGCCCAGGAAAATATTATATTTGTATAATAAAAATGAGATCAATATTTGTGCCGAAAATAACAATAATGTGCAGTACAGTTGCATTAGATTAGTAAGGGGTCTTAAGTTTGTGGGGTTTTTTTCTTTTTCTTTTCTTTTTTGGTTTTTACTAATCATTTTTGCCCCATTTTTAACAGGTACCAGGTCATCAGCACACCAACGGATTTTTTTATGGTAATGGAATATGTGTCTGGTGGGGAATTATTTGATTACATCTGTAAACATGGACGTGTAAGTGACTTTATGAAGTAGAGATAAATGCATGTAGCAGAGGGAGAATGGTATTAAAAAGTAGACTGGTTTTGCTAAATAGGACTCTTTTAAGGTTATTAAGGCCAAAAATAGCTCTTCTCATCTGGAATAGCTTGCAGCTGGTGTAACACCATTATAGGATTGCTGCTGCTATTGTTATTTGCAGCTGTTTCCAGTTTTACAATGCAAACTTTCAGCTGATATTTTGTGATTCAAATTACATATCATTTTTTTTTTAAATTAAGAGATGTAGGCAGTAACCAGTAGCAATGCCTCTTGCTGATCTACACTTATATCTTTGTATTTTTATTTTGGACAGCACATGAGAAAAGTTACTTTTCTGGACTGCAGGTTTCAGTACACATGGAAGCTGGCCATGTTGGATATAGCATTCTGGAAACCCTAGTCCAACAAAGTAATTTTTCTCGTGTCTGCTTCAGAGTGTTTCCACTGACTTCAGTCCAACAGAAAGAAGAAAGTAAAGAGGATTAGATGTGAGGGTGATCTGGCTGTTACATCTCTCACTCCATTGATTACCAGAGTTGATTCAGCTTATCCTAATGGCTCAGTGGGTGTCCCCTTCCTCTTTCATCACTTCATGTGCATCCCTCCCCAAGCTGCATGCTCAGCAGAAGAGGATGGCCATCCCAGATAGAAGGAATGTACCGTTCTTCAGTCAAGGGTATGCAATAGCTGTGCTTCTCTGTTAAAACCTCCAAACAATAAAAGAGGATTTGGTTATAGCAGTTCAGCATTAACTAGTTCCAGCATGTGTGCCTGCAATAGTAGTGAAGTGTTGCAAAACCTGTACAATTAACATTTCAAACAACGAGCATTCACTTCTTGTTGCCATACCATTTAGTGATAATTATCAGTTTAGTCCTGTTACTGCAGATGGACAATGAGTCCTTACATTTCCTTAAATTTAGGTAAGAGTTTGGGTTCAAAAAGAAGACAAAAGCTTGTCTTTACAAATGTAAATTTTACAACCAGTTGGCACAATGGACACTTGATTATGGGACATTTGTTTCTCTTGCTCATATTTTTTCTAATTTTTCTTCCGTGGAACTGTATATGGATGTTTATATTTGGAATGCAAATCCTCTGCAAAAGCAGTAAAAAGAAACAGTGTGATTCCCATTACTCTGTTTTACAAATTTCATTTCTGTTTTTCCTTTGACTTTTAGAAAGCCATTGGCAAAACAGAAATGTTCCCTGCTATATGTTATGAACTTCACAAAAGCTTTGGAAATCTTGTAGATTATATCGGAGCTTGGAAGGGACACACCAATTTTTTAATATTTCTCCAAGGGCAAAAAAGTGTGCCCCTGCAAATATAAAAACTAAAGTGCATCCAGAAGAAAGGTTCTAGTCTGTTGCTTGCTAAATGAGTTGATTCTTGTAGAGACATGCATTTTGTTTTCCTATTTGAAATAACAATATCCTAGAACTGCAGCCTGAAATGGTTCAGTCCATTCTACCACAGCACTCTTCCATCTTCTCCTGTACCATCTATTCTGAACCATTCCACATAACAGCTGGAGAATGGCAGTTGTGAACATTCTTGTAAGTTAGGGAACAAACTAAACTAAACCCTTCCTATAAATAGAAAAATTGTTTAGTGTAGCAGAAGAGTCAAGTCTAGGTGCTTTCAGCTACCTTTTCTCCTCCACACTTGAAAGGAATACATTGAAAACTCTCACTCTTACTTTAGGACTAATGACAGTTCTCTGTGATACATGAACTCAAGGAACTATAAATTGTTGTAAGTGTGGTTAGCTGAAACAGGCAAGCATCAAAGTGTAATTAAGTGTAACACAAGGCTTCCTTGTGTGTATGAAAGACAAGGAAAATGGAGTACAGAAGCCAGAGCTTATGAAAACTTCTTCGCATAACTTATATCTGAACACTTTGGTACATTCCCACTTGAGTCTATTGTAGATCCATCCATCCATAGAGAAGTAGTGTGGTTAGCTGAAACAGGCAAGCATCAGCTAACACAAGGCTTCCTTGTAACACAAGGCTTCCTTGTGTGTATGAAAGACAAGGAAAATGGAGTACAGAAGCCAGAGCTTATGAAAACTTCTTCGCATAACTTATATCTGAACACTTTGGTACATTCCCACTTGAGTCTATTGTAGATCCATCCATCCATGGAGAAGTACCTTGCCCACAACTGTCTATTTTATTTGATGCATGCAAGTAAAATGGTCTCACTGGGCCTCTTCCTCCTCCTCTTCCTCACTGGCATTGCTGGTGCCTGTTCGCTTGCCTGGGAGAGACATGGCAAGTGAGCAGATGGCAGAAGCTACTGATCTTCATCTTTGCCTCCATCATGCTCCCATCCCACCCTGTCACACTAGATCAGAGGCTGAGAGAGGAAGCAAAACCAGCAGTGAAGAACAGTTAAGGGCCAAACCATTTATAGGGCCTCTCCTGGCAGGTGTCCAAATATGCTAGGCCCAACACTGATTCTAGGTTCTGAAATACGAGATAACAGAGAGAAAGCAAAACCAGCAGTGAAGAACAGTTAAGGGCCAAGCCATTCATAGGGCCTCTCCTGGCAAGATAAGGGTTTTGGCAGGTGTCCAAATATGCTAGCCCCAACACTGATCCTAGGTTCTGAAATACGAGATAGCGAAGCATGATTCTTCCTTTTGAAGCCTCTGGTATCTGTGTTTTTTGGGTGAGGGGATAGTAAAGGGGCAGAAAAAGATGTTTTTGAGGAAAGGACAAACTCACATTAATTTCTCCCTGTTGTAGAGAACTTTGGAAAAACAACTAACGGAAGCTGCAACCTATGAGAGAGAATTTTTTAAGTGCTTGGACAAAGCAGCACATTAAAATTTTTGACAAGCTTTGATTATTTGACAGCTTTAAGAAAATAGTGCCATGAATATTTCCTTGGGAGGTACTTTTCTGTTTGCTTTAGTGTTGCTTACAATAATTCTGTCTCTTGTGATTCGTTAAGGAAGTGCATCTTGCTTTTGTGAATGTCCTATTAGAAAAAAATAATATGAGTGGGTTTTTTCCCCATTCCTTTACATTTCTGTAGGTGGAAGAGCCTGAAGCCAGGCGTCTTTTTCAGCAAATTCTGTCAGCTGTAGATTATTGTCATCGGCATATGGTGGTTCACAGAGATCTGAAACCAGAGAATGTGCTGCTGGATGCACACATGAATGCCAAGATAGCTGATTTTGGTATGTGACCCGAACAGTATTTCAGAAATGTAACTGGCTATAAGCCGCTTGCTGGACTGTACAGGGCTAACCTCCTTCAAAAGAACTCAGTCATTTTTAATGGCCATAACCAGTTCTATGCCATTGCAAAAACCTTAGTGCAGTGGTCCCCAACCTTGGCCCTCCAGATGTTCTTGGACTTCAACTCCCAGAAATCCTGGCCAGCAGAGGTGGTGGTGAAAGCTTCTGGGAGCTGAAGTCCAAGAACATCTGGAGGGCCAAGGTTGGACACCACTGCCTTAGTGGATGAAGACATTGACCTCGCTCCCATCGTCCTGTAAAAGCAGGAGACCTTGTATGACTGAACATTCCTTCCTAACCCTAATTCTTTCTCACCCACCCCTCCCTGTTGAAATCCTGTTGCTTGGCATAATGTGGCACACGAGTCGGCCCACTGAATCAGTGGAGATTTAATGAGCCAGCTCCTATGTAAGTTCCATTGATTCAAATGGGGCTACTCTAGTAGCAATTTTTTTACGATAAAGTAGGTTACAAGAATAAGCCCTTTTGAATCAATGGAAGGAAAAAAGTCAACTCACCAAATCCCCACTGATTGTGGGCCTATTCTACTGTGAGTTATGACACCAAACAACAGGATTCCAACCATTATTTGAAAAGCTAAATTTCAGGCTTGAGAATCTCAGTCTAGCTATTTCCTTGACATCACATTTTTTTAAAAGAATATGTATGAAGGAGCATCCAGTCATGTGAACTCTTATCTACAACTGAAAATGGTACAAAAAAATTGCGCAGTCCAAACAGGCTTACCCTCTCAGTGAGAACCACATTATTGGCTTTTCTAGAGTGGAGATCTTCCCAGTTAGAGTGGTCACAGTGTCAATATATACGTATATAAAAATCACATATCAAATTTTTAAGATGTGGGCTTGCACTTGTTAGTGTTTCTTCTCAATGTTCAGTTACTTTTTGTGATTGTTTTCCTGTCATTCCAATGGTCTTCAAACAGGATAATTTCTCCATCTCACTGGCCATGATTTTGGTACATGAAGTAGAGAGGTCAGGGTGCAGAGGGACACTGATCAGCTTCAAGCTAAATACACGTCAATGTGCCGTATCAGGTCCTGAAACATAAGGTCAATGAGCTCTGAAGCCTCAGGAGATTCCTTCTTTCCCAGTATCTCTGCACAGAGCTTACTCCCAGCTCCTGCTCTTGAGTAACCTAGTATATAGAAGCCTGTGGAAAGATGAGACACCGGATGCTCAAAAAAGAAAAACTGATAAGAAACTTTAGGAAGCTAGCCTTAATTTTATTTATTTTGTGCTTGCCTTAGATGTCTTACTTAAATTAAGCAAATTGTTGCTTTGTTTATTTGTTTGTTTATTCATTTATTTGTTTATTTTAGGGATCATTTGATTGCTGTTTTTTTGTTTTTTTTTACTGCTGTAAATGTGTTTTAATGATTGCTTTTGTACCTTTTGTACTTTGTAAGCTGTCTGAGTGACAATTTCTGAAGGGTAAAGCAAGATGCACTCATACAAATAAACAGTAGGTTCCAATATGGGAAAAATGTTTACAGTGAAAAACTTTCTGCCCCATGATAAATTATTTCTCAAGCAGATATTGTGGTGCAATTTCAGGAACTCTCCCTCCCCCAACTTTATTATTCCATATTGCTTTCCCTTTGTTTTCCTTGCTATCCCTTAGTCCTTTCCTTTAAGCTGTATCCAATGCTTGTTAACTGTAGCTTCATCTGGGGACCTCAATATGTGAAAGACTTCTTTTTTAGGACTGTCCAACATGATGTCTGATGGTGAATTCCTGCGAACCAGCTGTGGCTCTCCAAACTATGCAGCACCAGAAGTCATATCAGGAAGGTAGAACATGAAACAAGTCAATAGCACTTTGATTTTAAAAAAATACTGAGTGGTATTAATGCTAATAGCTGAGTGGTTTGTGGTTATTTACATATTTGTTTACATGGCCATTTACATATGACAGCATCCTCTCCTGTTTCTTGTACAGTTTAGCTTTGAACAAGAAACTGTGGCACAAAGAGGACTCAGGCAGAAACATTTCCATTCACTGGATCAAGACAAAAAAAAGGGAATGGGCATTTCTAAGAAATAAATTCTTGAAAGTGCAGGCATGCCAAAGAATGTTGTAGAGAAATTTGGAGAATGTGGGGGAGACAGATCGAGACACACACACACACACACACAGAGAGAGAGAGAGAGAGAGAGAGAGAGAGAGAGAGAGAGAGAGAGAGAGAGAGAGAGAGAGAGAGAGAGAGAGAGAGAGAGAGAGAGAGAGAGAGAGAGAGAGAGAGAGAGAGAGAGAGAGAGAGAGAGAGAGAGAGAGAGAGAGAGAGAGAGAGAGAGAGAGAGAAGTTTGGTTAGTTCTAGAATGACAGACAGGCTCTGCACAAGAAGGTTTAAACAATCAGGGGGAATATTATAATCAGTTCTTTCATCTACTATTCTTGAAATGTTTAGCATTGTACTGAAATGTTTAGCATTGTACTGCCCTTCTGCTCTGAGCTCCCCAGGACATGCTTTCACTCTGCAATGCATGTATTTCCTTGAGGAATTGTTTAACAATATATTCCTTTTGTTCAGATTGTATGCTGGTCCAGAGGTTGATATCTGGAGCTGTGGTGTTATTCTCTATGCGCTTCTTTGTGGGACTCTTCCGTTTGATGATGAACATGTTCCAACCCTTTTTAAAAAAATTCGTGGAGGCGTCTTCTACATTCCTGAATACCTCAACCGTTCAGTCGCCACCCTACTCATGCATATGCTGCAGGTTGACCCACTCAAACGAGCAACCATCAAAGACATACGGTAATTTTGATGCCAAAAATCCCATAATGCCACCTGTCAACATTTCTCTGAGGTGGGAAGAGTAGGATCATCACAGGAACTCAGCCAATATATCCTTCTGATATCAATAGGAGCATAGCTGATGTGAGGAACAGACTATGTTGAAAAATATACTAACCCAGACAGATTGTGCATTATTGTGGTGACATCCATATGTATATGCCATTTCCTGAAGCCGCACTGCTTCTGTGTCATGGGTACAATGTGTATTCAGAGTTTGTGGTTGGGATATTGAATAAGGAGTAGGGTCAGTTGTTTTTACTGTTAATGAATCTTTATACCTTCTAGGCTTAATTCTTCCTGCTTATTTTTAATCTTGCAGTGTTCTAGAAATCAGTAGCAGAAGTATTTCTTAAAATTCCTAGTCATATTCAGGAATTTATCATTGAACCATTGAGGCAAAATCTCAGTTATTTGAAATTAAAATATTTAAACAAGTATACCTCAGCAGTCATTAGCATTCAACATTTTCTCTTTTGTGACATATCAGATTTAGGATGTTGTCAAATAATCTAATTACTTAGCAGAGTGACACTTGTTCTTCTAGTGAACATGAGTGGTTCAAAGAAGATCTGCCCAGTTACTTGTTTCCAGAAGATCCTTCTTATGATGCCAATGTCATTGATGATGATGCTGTGCGGGAGGTTTGTGAGAAGTTTGAATGCACCGAGTCCGAGGTGATGACCAGTTTGTACAGCGGAGACCCTCAAGACCAGCTCGCAGTTGCATATCACCTTATTATCGATAATCGTAGAATCATGAATCAAGCCAGTGAATTCTACCTCGCTTCCAGCCCTCCTACTGGTTCTTTTATGGATGACAGTATGCACATCCCCCCTGGAGTAAAGCCTCACCCAGAACGGATGCCTCCTCTAGTAGCAGATAGTCCCAAAGCTAAGTGTCCCTTGGATGCACTGAATACCACTAAGCCAAAACCACTGACTGTGAAAAAAGCCAAGTGGCATTTAGGAATAAGGAGTCAAAGCAAGCCTTATGATATCATGGCAGAAGTGTACCGTGCTATGAAACATCTGGATTTTGAATGGAAGGTGAGAAATATCAATGTTTTGTGTTGCTTTAATGCTTTCTGTGAAATTCTCTATTTATTGGGAAAAGCACAACCCCCCCCCCCAAGTAGTTCAGTGGCAGTCTCCCATTTATCTTCCTAGTCAATCAGCTTCAAGAGCATATTGCATCTAATGCTGGAAGTAATATACTGTTATCTTGACTAGTGGCTATAGTAGCCTTAATTTCCATACAATAAAGTGAATGGCAAACATGAGAACATTTAAAATGATGAAACCATGAGCATCATTTCATCATGTTGCGTTAAAGATCAGAAGTCGTGAAGAACTAAAACAATTTATTTCAGGGGCTTTTTCATTCATATTGAAAGTCATCCAGTGATGCTTTCAGAGTAGAAGGATCAGCCTGTAGGGTGCTGTTGCTGCCCACGGGATGCCCAAATGTGTTCACAGTCCTAATATTCTCCAGGAAGGCTTCTTCCCTGTCCCCTGTTTAGGTACTGAAAAGCAATAAATTAACCCCTAGGGAGAGAGTCAGGTGAGGTGCCACAGCTGAGATGGCCCTCTCCACAGTCACGTTCACCTGGCTTGTGACAGCAGTGACACTTGGAATAGGACCTCTGATGACAAGCGTAGAGCATGGGCAGTTAAGCATTTATTCAGGTAAACTGGTTCCAATCTGTAAGATTTTAAAGGTAACTAAGTTATGCATCTAGAAAATTCCAGAGTGATATCAGCAGTGTAATTGTAATTACATTGGCTTATTACTTTCATATTAGCCTCTTTGCAAATATTAGAACATTGAGTTGCAATCCTCTGCATATATACCTGGGAGTAAGACACACTGAACTAATAGGACTTAATTCTGAATAGATGTGTGTGAGGTTGCAATGTAACTGTACTTCAATACTATCTATTTTTAATTACTGACCTATGAGAACATATCTTCTTTTTTAAGCTGCCTAAGCTTGAGGTTGCGGAGATAATTCTTCCTTGCACAGCTGTAGGGATAGTGGAGCTTTTCAGATATCTAATTTTAGTAGTTAATTCTCTTCTAGGTAACTAATCTTCCCAAAAGCTGTTAGGAAAAGAAGTTTGTCTATTATTTATGCATGGCTTCAAGGAGTCACGTGGCCAGATAAAACCTTGCAGTGCAGTTCTCTTAGATCTGTTTGAAAGAGTGTGGTGCTTTCCAGCTGACCTTTCTACAGAATGTACTTGCCAGATTGCATACTATTGCACCATGTATAAGTAAGTCTTAGGCTGCAGTCTTTTATATACCTATCTGGTAGACTCACTGAATGCAGTAGAGTTAGGGTTACATTCTAAAGCATATACATGTCAAGTTCCTGAAGTACTTCATTTACTACCATATTTAAGGCTGGATATTATTTGAGCCCATTTATTAGTTTTATTTGTGAGATGCCTGTTGATTCAACAGGAGATTTTCCTGAATTTTTCTGATTCTCTTTCATATGTTGAGTAAGAAACAGCAGTGCATATTCTCAGCTGTTATTCTGGATTTGATGCAGTATATATGTTTACTGAAAATAACTAATGAAAAATTAGATTGTATGTACATTTTAAAAATATAATCCAAAATTTAATTTTAAACTACTGTGTGTTTTTGCTCATTTTATTTTAATTTTTCCACACTGTTCCAGTAGTTTTGTGATTATGCATTTTGTTGGGGATTGTGTGTGTCTTAGTTGTTTAAATGTCACTGAAACATTCAAGAAGGAGATTAGTCTTTTTTAAAATAAATCAAGTTCATGTTTCTTCAAATAGAAGACCCATTATATTTATCCCTGGGTAACTGTGCATAGAACTGCAGCCAGAATTCTGCAATAAGGTATCTCAAATGCAATGCCAAAAGGATAATTCTGTGACCTGTATGCATTGTGAAACAAAGCAAATTTGTATATATGTGTATATTTGACATTATTCAATCATTTGCTCATTGAGAATAATTCTTCTGTCATAAGAGGGGGAAAGAACTGTGAAGGCTGCTCTTTAATTATAGGACATCCTGTTTTGCTTGTTTAGCATAACCTTAAGGGCCATACATTTGTTGCTGAAAACAGCTATTTGGATGTTTTCATATGTGTGACCGATATCAGTTTCTTTAGTGTTGATTTACTTTTGTGCTAAAACACAATCCTGCTTATTAGACAGCCTATGATAATGGTCACTGTTGGCCAAAATTGACTTTATGCCACATGATTATTATTATTTATAGGACAATATATGTATATATATATATATGTGTATTTAAAAATTGTGACACATAGATACTGTACACCTGACACCACAACGATATTGATGCACTAGATATGCCTGAATAAGAGTAGCAATTTTCTTCATCATCTCTGTTTACCAGCATATTTATATTTCTGTTTATGTAGATATATAGATATAGATATGTAGATATAGTTCAAGTAATATTTTGCATTATTGGGTACAACTGAAAACTAAACTTGGCTAGAGTTGTGGCCAATTAATCATTCAGCATAAGCTTCTATAACCATGTAAGTAAAACAGCAGAATATGATTGGCAAAGCACAAGAGATTTATTTTGAAAAAGAAGATCAGCAACTGGGGCAGTGTTGGAGATTCCATTACTGGCACATCCCACAACTGTGCCTACATGCACTTTGAGTGAGCTAGAGGGACATTTCCCCCCCTACTTTATTAAATTGGCATCCTATATGTGGCATAAGCAATGAAAGTGTTGATGATAAAGAAAGGGGGGGCAATTTTGTGTATAAGATACTTGTATAAAAAGCATCTCTGGGAATGTGAAAAATCACATTCTGTACTTTTCTTGAATCTAGGGTTCAAGGAAGTTTGTTTTAAGATAGTTGAGATGCAGTTCTATGCATTTGTACTCCGAGATCCCATGGAGTTCCCTAGGACTCATTGCCAGATACATATGAACAGAACTGAAATAAACTACAATGAATTTAGTTGGGCTTACTTTTGAGAAGAAATCTACAGGATTGCATTGGTGTTTAAGCAAAAAATGTTTTCTTGTAACATACAACACTTGCGCCAAAAATGCTGCTTCCTTTCCTGCACTATCATTCTGTTTCCACTAAAAGACAAATTATACGTTTTAGGTGGTGAATGCCTATCATCTTCGAGTTCGTAGAAAGAATCCAGTGACAGGAAATTATGTGAAAATGAGTTTGCAGCTTTATCAGGTTGACAATCGGAGCTATCTTCTGGACTTCAAAAGCATTGATGGTAAGGAGGAAATATTGTGGAATTAAATTGCAAGCATGAATTGCAAGCTTGAAGAAAGATACCATATAAATGATATGGTCTCTGCTCTCTTCTAAGCTTTCAAAAAAATCCAATTTACTTCACAACAACTTCAACTCTGGAAAATTGTTGTTCTGGCTGTACTGTACTATCACCTCTATTAATAATAATTATGTACATCAAGTCGGTTCTGACTTACAGCAGTCCTATTCTGGTCTCTTAGGTATACCATGCTCAGGAGTGGTTTCCTTCTTCAGGCGCACCCTGAGGGTGTTCAGCTTGACTAAGTCTACAGAAGCTGGATTTTCTCACAGAAAGCTCAGTGATGAATCAAACACCTAACCTCTGATTCTACAGCCAAATATCTAAGTCACTCAGCTATCTAAACAACTAATAACTGATATTAACTGTGTTGATTTCACACAGTCTTCCCCCAACCTGATTCTCTTTATATGTGTTGGAATACAACTCCCATAATTTTAAAGTGACAGGGTCAATTGCCATACTGGCTGGGAATTATGACAATCATGGTCCATTTTACCTGGAAAACACTAGATTGGTGAAGTGTGGTTTAACGGCCTTAGGAAGACTTACATTCCCATCGGAGGTGGCTGTGTTGTGAAGACCATTTCTGATGATAGACAGTTCCAAGTGACTCAATGTATCTAGTTTTAAAAGAAGTTCCATTTGTACCACAGAACTCAGGAAAACCACAAGACCTATGCAGGCATTTGGCTGAAGAAGAAGAAAAAGTTAAAGCAGGGGGGATGTGGTCTTGCACTTGAGTTCAACTCCTGTCTCTGCAATATTTCTAAGCCCCAGGCTGCAGTCAAGTTCTACGTGCATCCAGGACAAAGTGTTCTGTAAGCCTCATGTAGCAAAAATTCCCTTTTGCCTTTACTGGCTGTGAGATTCCTGGCAAAATTATAGAAGCACAGTGAGCAAGTACAGTCTCTTCAGCTGAATTCCACCAACCCCTATTGCTATTTTGTGCTTCCTCCCTTTGCAAAGTCACAGAGTTACAGTGACTAGAAATAATTGTGAGGCTCCCCTACATCCTCCTTGCTTTTCCATGGGGAGAAGCCCTTTCATACTCAAGAGTGCAGACCTTCAGGGAGGAGGAGGAGGAGGTTTGGAGAGGGGTACCCCCCAAAATAGGGCTATAGGCCAGAAATTCTCCTTTCCTGCTGTACCCATTTACCAGACTGTAAGCCTCATCCAACGTGATGGACATCCACTTGCTGCCAGGCAATTTAGTCCCTTTGAGGCCCCTGTGGAGTGAAATATTACCACTCAGTATATTCCAAATATTTTCCAAAGAGGATATGTGTGGAGTCCCTTAAAAGTGATGAACAAAGAGTTATCAGTGCTCTTATCACTGAGAGGCATAATGCAGGGAATTTTTACTGTGTCTCCAGTCAGTGAAACTCAAGTTTCTCCAGCTAAGGTACAAAGTAAAAAGAAGACGATTTGTTTGATTTTGGAAGCTAAGAAGGACCAAGGCTGGTTCCAACTAATACCTAGGGTTTCCAGGCATGATTAAATTCTGTTTGAAGAACTATTGCTAGTCGGAGTGAAAAAAACTGGAGAAGGTGCACCATTGGTTTGATTCTGTGTAAGGCAACTTCCCGTGGTGTTATGTAGAAATGAACATGAGGGAGCTCAAGCCTCATGTCAATTAGAGGAAATACTTTAAATCAGTTTTCTATTTCTGCTTCTCAGATGACGTCATGGAGCAAAGATCAGGCTCTTCCACACCTCAGCGCTCAAGTTCTGCCGCTCGTTTGCACAGACCAAGACTGAGTTTGGATTCAGCTGCTGTTGAGTGCCAGTCGCTACATGGATCTCTCACTGGGTCCCTGACCGGGAGCACACCCTGTGTTACACCACGCCTCGGCAGCCACACCATGGATTTTTTTGAAATGTGTGCCAGTCTCATCATGGCTCTTGCTCACTGACAGGTGTCATTAAGAAGCTTGCTTTCTTTGGTCAAGTAGAGGCACAGAAAGTTCAATTCAGGACACACAGCAAGAAGAGCTTAAGTCCGAAAGTGGCGATACCAAATTCTGCAGCCAGGCTGCATTGTGTATATTAAGGGAAGTAGGCAGGTGTGCTCAGTTTATGTAATTCTAATTGCAGAATTCGCTTTATTTTTGCAAGGATTTGGAATAGTGTTGTGTTGTGAGAATGGTAGAAATGATGGAGCTGTGGAGGTAGTGATAGACAGAAGTGAGGAAGACTGCAGCCTCTGTCTGACAACTGGTAGCCATTAAGCTGTTACTGGTTGCCACTTCTACAGTTTGATTCTGTAGAAAATGCAGCAACTGCCAAAATCTGAAAATGTCCATAGTTGCAGAATCTGCAGTGCCCTTGCTGTTGTGAACATATCAGTGCAATAATGCTCCTGAAGACTTGACAGTTCCTTTAAATATTAAGAAATACGTGTTTTCAGGAAACAAAGACAATATAGTACTGGTAGGTTTCATGTGCACTTTATATACATGGAAGCTTTTTTCACATTTGCTATTTTTCCACACGCTGTACCATGCAAAACCATCCCTGAAGTAGGGCTGTAGCTTAGTGAGAAGTGCAATTTATGAATGTATGAGTTCCTAGGTAGCAAGTATTTACACTGTCAATTTTACAGATTTAGTCCTAGGAATCTCCAGGTAGGAAATCTTCGGTGGCAGGCCTCTGACTGATCTGCATTTTCTGTTGAGGAAGGGCTTTTGGAATGCTTGATGAATCAATACAGATCTTATGTCCTTCTCAGAGACCCATGGAAAGGAGGTACAAGCTACAATATTCTCCTCCATTCTAAACATACTCCTGTAAGGATACATAAGAGTAAGAGCCCACAGGAAGACCATTTCCTAAAACAGTAGAGAATAGGGTAAAACAGCTTCTGGTGATTGTCTTCTACAGCTGTGGACTACATTGGCGGTTCTCAAGCTTTCTTCCTTCACAAGCTTTCGACATCTAAGCTACAGCTCATGGTGGGAGTTGGAAGTTCGATATATCTGGAGGGCCAAAGATCCAGAACCTATGGGCCAGATCAGTAGTTGCCAACCTTGAATCCCCATGGACTGCTGTTGCCACTAGCCCCAGCCAAAATGATGAGCGATGAAGGGTTCTGGGAATTATAGTCCAACAACACCTGGGGAAAATAAAGTTTGGGAATCGCAGGACCAGATAACCTGTTTATCTGAGTTATTAAAGGGTAGTCCTCTTGTCTGCCTCTTCTTCTTGTGTTGTGGCAGAATTTTAAAAAGTAGGCATTTCTTTTATTAAATAACAGCACACATTCAGTTACTCTTCCAAAGTAATTATTTAATGGAAGTTTTGCTACTATTAGACTCTCTCCCACCCTGGTGGATGTTGTAGATATTCAATGATAAACGAGGATGAAATTGCTGTGCCAGTAAGTTGAACAATATAACAATAGCAATGCTGATCTAGCATGGGAGATGCTTATAGAATTGGATTCACAATAGGACACCTGCCAGTTGATTTTATGAAACCTTCTAGATGCAGCCTGTGCCTGCAGTGCATGATCTGAAGTCCACTCGCTCATCTCTCTCTCAATGCCCAGAAGTAGAAGGCAGTGGGTGACTGGCAACCACTATAAATTAGCAGTACCTGAAATGCTGAACAGATGTTTTTGTGGTGTGGCAGTAGCACTAGGTTGCTGCCTTGTTTTGCAAAATCTCTCTTTTTTTTTTTTACAGAAATCTAATTAAAGTTTTGAATTAGGGAGCTTTTATCTGATCCAAAGGAATTCTTTCCATTCTAGTCTTTTATAACTACTTCATGCTGACTGGTTTTCATTGTCCTGGGCTTGTTAAGCTCAGACCACCTACAGTAGACCTCAAGCAACCCACTCTTAATCACATTATTAGTCTTCCATCAATCATCTTAGGCTTTGCCTAGTATCAAATATATTGAAGTGCAAGATGTGACTATTTAAATAAGGAGCAATTATTAATCCCATGGCAGTCATTGATCAAGGCTGCCATAGCTATCTATGTAAAACTTGTAAAGGTGGGATGGAGGATTTTTCTTTATTTTTTTACCCAGGAGTAAGGTCTGTTGATAACACTCCGGTTTGCAAAGAACTCTCAGCCTGTCAAAGCAAAAGAATTACAGGGAAGCCAATGCCATTCAGAAGTATAGCTGGGGAAAATGGGGATGGAAGGATTTAGGAATGATAAAGAAGCAAAACAAAGTGGAGTGGGGGACAATCTGGCACTTGAACAGAGCTTAGAAATGTTCCTCTCCTTTCTTTGGACTACAGATCCAAAAATCTTAAGAGTGGTAGTACAAAAAAGTAACATTTTCAGGCTTCATACTTGACATAGATGTATCTCCTTTCAGGAATGAGTCTCTTTTCTTCTTCTGCGGTTTCAGACCTTAATATAGCTGGCTGAACAGCTCAATGAGTTAGGAAGTCAAAGGTTGGGAGTTCAGTTCTTCACTGTGCTTCCCGGGAGTAGAGCCAGACTGTGTAGCCTTGGGCAAGCTGCATAATCCCAGGGCACCCCCAGAAGAAGGGAGCAGTTAACCATTATGAGTACTGTCTATCTGAAAAATCCTGGAAAGGGTCACCATAAGTCAGAATTGACTTGACATGACATTATTATTCAGTCCTTTACTACCATATTTGTCCAATTCTGATTCCAGGATTTCTTGTGTCATAGAGATCAGATTACTACTACTATTTCGTCCTCTCTCTCTCTCTCTCGCACACCTATACACATTTATAGGATCTCTCTCTCTCTCTCTCTCTCGCACACACCTATACACATTTATAGGGAGACTTTGAGACTAGGAAATTTTTTAAAAATGCATTTTATTGTGGAGGCACACTGCATGTTTAGATATTTATACAGCAATCTATATACTCATAAGTAAGTCCCCCTGTGTTCGGTGAGATTTACTTCAAAGTAAGTAGGTATAGGATTGCAATCTAAAATCTGTACCCTCAATGGAAAATAAGTCTATTGATTTCTAAAATGTTTGTGAGGCAGGACTTACCCTTCCAGAAGCCATGCTGATTTTTCCTTAGCAAAAGTTGTTCTTCTGTGTGTTTTAAGATTTTATTTTGGATGAGGCTTTCCACCATCTTCCCTGGACCATTTAATTTCTCTGCAACCTCCAAGTCCCCCTTACCTCCCCTTTTCCTCCCTCACCATCCAGAGGGCCTTCTAACATATTTAAATAAGCTTTTATCTTACCCTTCCAGAAGCCATGCTGATTTTTCCTTAGCAAAAGTTGTTCTTCTGTGTGTTTTAAGATTTTATTTTGGATGAGGCTTTCCACCATCTTCCCTGGACCATTTAATTTCTCTGCAACCTCCAAGTCCCCCTTACCTCCCCTTTTCCTCCCTCACCATCCAGAGGGCCTTCTAACATATTTAAATAAGCTTTTATTATTCCCCTTTATATTGCTAGCCACACCTTCTTCAATGTCTTTCTTTGCCTTTTATATCATCTTCTTACTTTTTTTTTTTGCCAGAGTTTGTGTTCCTATTTATTTTCCTCATTTGGGAAGGATTTCCATTTACAAACCTCTCCAGCTACACTCGGTAACCATGCTGGCACACTCTTGGACTTAGCTGAGCCCTTCTTTCCTTGCAGTATACACTTATGCTGGGCCTCTACTACCATTGTTTTAAACAGGCACCATGCACTCTGGAGAGATTGGATTCTTTTTACCTTCCCTTTCAACTTCTTTCTAGCTAGTTTCCTCATTTGAGGGAAGTCTGCTCTTCGGAAATCAAGGGTCTTTCTGTCAGATTTGCTTGACACTCTCCCCACAACATACATGGCAAAAGACATTGTAGCATGGTCACTATTCTCTAGCAGCCCAGTGACATTCACATCCCTAACCAAGTCCTGAGTACCACACAATATTAAATTCAGAGTCATTTGTCCTCTGGTGATGAGATGGGTTGATGAAGGAAGCCACAGCTGTTAATTTGCAAGATCTCAGCTGAACATGCAGTATTGCTCGGTGAGGGGGGCACATAGCATCTTTGGAGCTTTTAAAATATTTTTAATACCTGTACTTGTATTTAATTTTTAAATATATTTTCTTTTGTTTGTGTGTGTCTCCATTTTTACAACCAGAAACATAATTCCCTTGAAAGCATGATTCTGATAAGCCTGTTTGGTGAGGCAGGACATAAAAAGTTAGCTATCTGCGTTTCTAAGTTAGGTGGAAATACTTTAAATATGTCTTGCAAAATTGTATGCTGATTCTCTAAGGATACATAGCAAAATGTACCTCTTTCTGGAGGACTTCCACTCCATTACTTTCTTTAAACCAAACCTGTTTTGGTTGGTTGGTTGGTTTTTTACCATTTAAAGAAAATCTCTCTTTTCAGTCTGTTTCGGTGAGGTTTCTCACCAAATATCTTCTGCCTATGAATGTATACAGTGTTTCATTTTATTTAGCTCCTCCTGGCAAAGCTGTACCTTGCATGCACAGTCTTGTTAAAATGTGGCTTTTTTTCTCTTTTGAAAGGACGATCAATATTTCAATCCATGCAGCCTGAATTCTCTCCAAAGGGGAAAAAGTTGGTGAAGCCAACCATTCTCTTTCAAGATAAACAAGATTGGTATTCTCAATTTATTTGATCTTTGACATCTGGAGTCATTTGGGTCACCTATTTCTGAACAGTTTTACTTAAAAAAAAATCATAACTTGAAAATCCTTTGCCTTAAATTTGGCACAGAGCAAGAGCATACTGTCTGCTACAACTGTACAAAATGTAGTGCTGATCCACAGCCCAGTTTCAAAGTTACAACATTTGTTTGGTCTGCCCCCATTTTTGAAATTATCTTGTAAAATGTTGATTTCCTCTGTTGCACGAAAGCATCACTGCACTCTCATGCAACTTTAATATCTTAGAACTGAACTTCCTCCATGATTAGATACAAAAAAACACATATCCATAATGGCTAGGCAGTATCTTTATTGGATCACTAAAAATTTACAAATAAAATAAAGACTTCTTCATAACACTTAATTGGGTAAAGATGTATAGAATTTGGCATTCTCGTAGGAAGTCCAAAGCTGGCCAGATGCAATGCTGATGGTTCATGGGGCCAGATTGCCAGGAAGGCAAAACAGAGTTTTAGATTCCACATAAAACATGCATAACATATGATATTGGTCCACCAGCTCTTCACCTCACTGAAGACAGAGGGGTGGCTTGTCCTGCCCTGCCCCCATTTCACGTACAATCCATTTGGCTTTCCTGCTAGCCTGGTTTCACCAACTGTGGTCACCACATCTTGCCCAATGCTCAGACTTTCCTTTTGGCTCACAAATGTTATCCTGTTCTTACCAGATGACAATGTGTTTAGAATGTGAAAGCTTGCCTTATTTCAGTGTTCCAATAAAGGTAACCCAGGCTTTGGCTTTCCCTATTGTTGTGACAGTATCAATTTACCTAAAGATCTGTCCAGTGTTCAGTCTCTTCATTCCCCCATTATTAATGCAGAACACCAATTTTGCTGGGTTGGATCAAGAAAATAGTCACCTACTTTACACATGACAGAGGTGGAGGGACTTCACACAGCAGAGCTGAACAGACTGAAACACTGACCTGATCCCTGAACAACCCTGATCTAAGTATGAGTGCATTCAGAAACAAGACCTGTGGCTGTAGATATTTCTGGGTACAAAGGTTTCTGGAGCAGCCTGAACATTGCCTGGTCAAGACTCCAGTTTCCATGAAGGCCTTTGTGCAAAGTCTTTCCTGTGGTCCTTGTCCAATGTGTGAATGCTAGGGCAGGAAAGAGGAAGTGTGTTGCTTTACTTATTTGTTAATCAGATTTATCCCCTGTTTTGGCTCCCATAAGCTCAAAGTAGTGTATATGACTTCCTTCCTTGGCCCTCATCTTCACATCTACCCTGTGAGGCAGGCAATGTTGAAAGAGAAGGACTGGCTGAAGGTCACCCAGTAAACCTCATTACAGTACTTAGTGGAAACTTGAATGTAGACTCCCAAATTCCTAGTTCAACACTGGAAATACTACAGTATACTATCACTTCTGCCATTTTGTTTCCTTAGATGATTAGTTGCATAAGGCAAGCTATCATTGTGTTGCATTTATATTGAAACTCAAAAAATCAGAGATTGTTTAGCTGGAAGTGAGAGGGGATAAAGGGGGCATCCTGTCAGTTCACCTGTGGTATGCTGAACATGGAGTTACAGGAGAACTAGTTCTGTTCATTTAATGTACAGTACTATTATCACACTCCTACCATAATTAGTATATTGGATTTCTCAAGTTTCTTTATTTAGATTTTAGCCATGATCAGATGAAGCTCCTTAATCTTTGTTTTAAAAGTACATACTTATATTGCACTCTACCTCTTTTTCAAAAGGCAATGCACTATTGTTAAAGGAAGCAAATCACAGTGAGGCTTATGAAACAAGTAGCATTTGAGAATGTCATATGTTAAGGAGAAAAGAAGGGTAGCTTTTCCAGTGGTCAGAAGCCATTTGCACTGCTGGCGCCATTTGAGAATACTGGCAGAGCTGTGACAGCATGAACATTACTTCAGCATAACAAAAGAACACACAGCAGCTTGTTATGTGCATTGCTTATGTGAATACATCCTGCTGTCATACTTTCTCTTTAGAATAGATTATCAAGGATCCAGTATAGTTGCATCCCCATCAGGTATTTAAACATCTGCCAAATAATCACTAATGTTGGGATGAAATGCTGTGCTGTCTACTAAAAAACCTAAGCAGACCTCTAGGATGTTAATAGATTTAAAAGGTTCAGATATCCAGTGGCAATATATTTAAGCTAAGTTTTGTTCTAACAAGCAGAGTATGTGCATTTAGGACAAGTGCAATTTTTAGTCCTTGCTTTATTGGCCTGTTACAGGTAGATAATCACTAGGTTTTCGTTCGTTATTCTAGAGTCACTACAGGACTTGTAAAGGTTTAAAGTAGGACAGTGATAAATGATTTGATCATATAATAAGAAGGCATTAATCTATAGCTAATACTACTGTAATTTTTAAACTAGATTTCATGCAAGGGTTCCATACTTGAAAAGGGGGATAATTTTCCACTGGTCATCGTTGTATCTGTGAGTTGGGTCACACTAATTTCTTCACAACAATACATAATGAAGCATATAATTTAATTTGCAAGTGTAGCTTAGCAAATCTTGGCAATTTGTCATTGATACAAGAGGTTTTATATTAATTTAGGGGAAAGACTGGCTTGAACTAGATGTAAGGAACAAAAGCGTGCCTTCCAGCATCAGCTGCCTTACTTACAAATGTTTCATTTTCACTTATTTTAAAAAACTGTCTGCTGCCTTTAGTATTCTAGGCACAAATTTTCAAAATACTTGAAATGCTCTTGCTTTGATCTCATTATGCCTCAGTGGTGACATTTGCATGTGACAAAACTTTTTGTTAGAATTGTTCTGCAGAAAAGTAGAAGATATGCCCTTGTGGAAGAGCTGTCAAGCAGGTGGTTTGCATGGAGAATGGTCAAGGTTTAATCAGTAGTATTTGAAGTTTGGGTTTCAAAAGAACCCCCTCTGAAACCCTGGACTGCCAGTCAGTGGAGCTGGCACTGAGATTGCTATACCAGTCAATGACCACCCTGGTTTAAGGCAGCTCATTAGGTTTGTATGCCTTCAGGGACATAGAAGGAATGGAATAGTACTTTGTGTTTTTCCATCCTTATTTCCTTGCTCTACTTCAAGTTACCTGTGATTGCTTTAGGCTTTAATTTTAAGTCTCTTTCACATTTTTTGCCTGTCTTCTTAAGAAGCTGACATGTACCCGGTGCATTGCAAGACACATATGGATCATATGAACGCCTTCCCATTCGCTCCAGGGAATGGAGCAGTTCTTCAGATGCATCTCTTTTGTACAAGTGAAGTTTTCTTTCTACTGAAATGAATAAAACATTTATAAATTTAAGAAAGCTCACTGTATATAATGAGCTCTAGTTAATGACAAGCAAGTACATGGGAACAGAATGATTTGAGACCTTTGTTTGATGTTTTGTTGTGGTATCTCCCAAGCCAGGACAGTTTTAAAAGTTGCCTTGTCTTTTCTACAGTGGCAGCTGCTTCCAAGAAACCCTCCAAAAGAAAATCTAGATGTAAGCTTTCTTTCCTTGCATATATTAAAGAACTGTAAACAGAGTTGTTCATAAGCTGTTTCAGAATTGCAGAACATTTTCTGGTTGTAGAAATTTGAAGTCAACAGTAGACTGTAACCTTTAAAGCAGTAGTAAATGCAGATTTGGATGCATTTAATAGCAATATTTTGTATGTAAATTTAATGGAAAAGAAACCTGCTGAAAAGACAAAAGTCCTCTAATATTATATCACGTTGTCTGCTTTTCTGAGTAGCCTTGAATCTCCTGCTGAAACTGCCTTAACCAATGTATCTTGTTTAGGTTATTAACGTATTTGGATGCTCCCCATGCTCATCTGTGTCTGAGTTATAAGTTGCGTGTGTAGTTGTTCTTTATCCTAATTTCACACAGTTTTCACATGAATACCAATACTACAGTGGTATGTAATTTCCTAGCTGGAATCAAACCTCATTTTTTCTGTATTATACTTCTATGTATGCTTTGTAAATCTAGCAGTATTTTTTCTTTAGTACGCAAACAGAACTGCAAATCACATGACTGTGAAGCTGTGCCCTTGAACTACTGTAATTTCAGCAAATAACACTGTTGACATAGGCTCCAAAAAGCTTAAGACAATGGTGTATCATAGACCAGCTATTCCATGTGCTCTTCTTCAACTAATTAAGGTTGGGTATTAAGAGATGGGGGGAGGGAAGAGAGAGAGATAGAGCTCTTTCATGCTGGCTGGGGATTAAATCTGATATACTCCAGAGTGCTTTTCAAAATTGCTTTTTTTTCCAAGTGACTAAGGCTTAGGAAAAAAGTCACAATTCTGAAAAAACTCCCCCTCCTCTCTTTTGGGGGCAGAAGCAGCAGATGTAGAAAGGAGAGGTCAGTCTGTCTTTCTTTTCCTATCCTTTCATCTCCCTTCTTTCCAGCCAATCACCTAGACATGCTGAGCAACACTATGCCAGAACACAAGCACCAGCGGGAGATATTTTCTCCAGGACTGCCACAGCCCTTGGGAAATTTGCATTCTTCCATATGGCCCAGGTTCTTCCACACTGCTAACCATCATGATTAGGCAGTGGAGAAGGAGTGGATGGAAAGGTGAGAAGAACCTTCTTTCCTTTCTCTATGTGCCACTGCTCTTCCTTCAAAGGTGTCTAAGCGGGAAGTGGGAGTGGCTTTTGGAAGTTGGGGGAGCTAAAGGAAAGTGCTTTTGGAAACCAATGGGGAATGTCTTGTGAAAGATGTGAATTATTCTGGTTAACTGAATTTCATGGCATGTCATAGTTGCTTCTTCTTGAAAAAGTTCCTACAAATCCTGAAGCTTCAAGTCGGAGAACTTCAATGGCATCCATAGCCATGTATATTTCAGGGAAAAAAAAGTTCTCAAAAATGCTTTCAAAAAGTACTAAATTTGTTTATGAGAAAACCGTTCTGGTCATTGAATCAGTTACATTAGCACTGGGAAAAGGCAGGATCCCCACTCCTTTGAGGATTATTATTATTATTATTGCACACGTCAGTTAATAATAAATCTGATTTACCTTATAGACTTGTTGTGAATATCACTGATTGAGAAAATGGAAGACTGGACAACTGCAAACAAAGTTACACATATCTAATGTTATGTTTGTGGGGGGAGGGGATAAAAGGTTTATTTTATTATGCACACTACATGTAATGATGATTAGCTCCATGGTTGACATGTGCACTTTAATAAACAGAAGATCATCTTATAAAATTCTAAATGCTTAAGCTATTTTTTTTCGTGATCTGATTAATCTTTTGAGCTAAAGATACCTTCACTCTACCTGCAGCAAAAAGCTAAAAGTTGTATTCAGGAACCATGGCAGTGGTGGAGATGTGGAGCTTTCTCCATTGTCAGAAAGCCTCTAAAGAGAAAACGTGAAATTCCAGGAAATTGCCATTGAAAGCAAAAAGCTTAATATTATTCTGTTAATGACAAGAAAACAGTCTAGATCATCTTTTGCATGCTAGAAATATGAGCTGGATGTTCAGTTCTATTAAGTTTTCACTCACTTTTCTACTGGTGCTTCCAAACACAACTCTAGTACAGTAGGGTCCATTACAACATTAAGTAAGTCCAGATACTATAATTATGCAAGGAATGTAAACTGTTTGCCATTACTTACCAATATCCAAAATACAAACATAAATACAATGATTGGCTTGGAATTTGGTTTTTATTGCAAGGTTTCCTCATGCATCATATCTGATAACTGTTACAAGTTTAATTTCTAATACAACTATCAGCACTTCATGGAATAAGCAAGAACTCTAATGTGTACAACACTGCAATGGGACAAGGATTTTCATCATCTTTGCGCTCTTTGTAAGCACATCCCCTTTCCCCCATCTTTATTTGTTTTATCCATTTTCCCAGTGACTGGTGATTCACCGTTGTGAATAGCCAACATATCTTTGGCCAACTGTGCTGCAGTCCTTAAGTTGTGGATGAAACCAACCCATCAATGTCAAAATCAGAAGAGTGGTCCGGAGGACACCTATGTCATGACCATACCCTTTAATTGGAACCTTGGTTTTTTTAACTGATTTTATTGGGCAAAATGGCATGAGAGAACATCCACTCATTCAGTGAGTATTTTCTCCTCCTACATCCCAATTCATTCTGTTCCAAAAAAAGGCCCCCAATCCTTTGCAGCAGCTTTGGCGATTTAAGGGGAAAAGAGGAATTTGTTCCCCCAGAAGTGTCCTTTCCATTATTTTTTTTCAACGGTACTTAATAGATAAGACAAATAACATAGCAAGCCAAGGTACATATTTAATTTATGTGAAATTGGTCAACTATGTAAAGTGACCTACAACTTTATATTATAAAGTACAGTTAGCAAGACAGCCCTTAGAAACAAAGTGTCTACCATTAAATGTTAATTATTTACATCTAAAACTAATGTGTCAATTATAAGAGCAATATATTTAATAGGTGTTAATATGTTCATGTGCTTAATACAAATTCCAAGTGTCTTGATATTGGTAGAATTCATTCTCTTTCTATCATGCACACGCACACAGGCAGAGCATTTTATTTAAGACATAGAATATCTGTATGCTGTCCATGATTCAAAGAAGCAAGGAGACTTCTGTACACATTACCGTAATTAAAGTTGGAAGATCTTCCATTGTTTGAGGGGTTGGCAGCTGAAAACAAAATCTGAGGAAAATGTTTGTGCATGCAAAAGCATATTACCCCAGTACATGGTACTTTGGGGGTTACAACATTTCTCTAAATTAGTGGTTCTCAGCCTTGTCCCTCCATATGTTCTTGGACTAAAACTCACAGAAGTCTTCACCACTAGCTGTGCTGGCCAGGATTTCTGGGAGCTACAGTCCAAGAACATCTGGGGACTCAAGGTTGGGAACCAATGCTCGTCTAGATTATCAAGGCACACACAGAGTGGCATGAATCTTGAGAACCACCATTTTGAATTTACAATATTTAAAAAACATCATACTCATTTTCATCCAAGGAACAGCAATTGTTAAAACTCAGCTACTAAAGAACTCAAGCTGTACATTGAATTTGCCATCAACTACCCAGCTGTTTCCTTTCACTGGTGTTAGTTTTCAGCATGCAGATCCATCCATGCATCATTACTTCATAGGAAACATCAGTAATGTTCTAGCTGTGTAGCACTAATGCCTTGTAAGGGAGAGAACATTAAAAAAGTACAGGTTAGCATATGGATAGCACTACAAATATAAACTGCACTGCATTTGGATGCTATCACAGAAACAGACTGGATTTCAGATCAGTGTGGCTTCTGACTCCAGCTGAAAACATGATATACCAAACCAGGCATTGAAATAATCAAGGTTGTGGTGCACCATACAGGGTATGTGGCTCAGCAATGCTGATGGACTCCCATCGGTACATCTGATGGTGAAGAATGGTGGCAACTGCAGTGCAGCAACATCTGAAGGCCCATATGTTTCCCCCCTTCCTGGCCTACATGACTCATGATAGGAGGGAACTTCAGAATTCAAGAGCTGCATTTTATTGGTGAAGCCTCAGGTAAGAGTTAAGTTACGCCTATCATTTATGCCTTGCAATTACTAATTGGTCCAGCCCTCCTTCCATGGAAGCAGCAAAACACATAATTTGCTTACTTATTTAATTTTTATGACACCAGTATAGGTGCCCGAGGCAGTTCACAAAGAGATCCAAAACATACAGCATACAGATAAAAACAATAACTTATAACAAAAAGAACAATCAAATGTATAATAATACTAAAAGGGCTAATGTTTTAAAACACTTTAAAAATAAAATATAACAACAATAATGCTCAATTTAATTACTAAAGACTACATAAAAGATAAGGTCTTTATTATCACTGGAAAGGTATCAGAGAGGATGCCATCAATGGCTAAGCCTCCTTGCAGTCTCCCCACCATGGTATACCCCAAGGCCTTTCTTTTAGATGATTATAATGTGGTGCATTCCATTATGGATAATCCATCTGGAGTGATATTATCTTGCTGAATATATAACCAAAAGCTAGGAAGACCTATCGGATAGCATATATGTACAATGAGTTTATAATCTGGGACTCAACATGAAGTGTGTCCCCATCCCATATTTTGAAACACAATAAACATTACCACCGGATTCCTGAGCAATTATGCTTGAATTACAGTGGTGCCTCGCATGATGACGTTAATTTGTTCCGCGAAAATCGCTGTAAAACGAAAACGTCATGTGATTTTAAAAAGCCCATAGAAACGCATTAAAACCCGATTAAAACCCCGTTCCTAGGGGCTTCAAACTCACCGTCCAGCTAAGATCCTCCATAGCGTGGCCATTTTTGCTGCCCATGCAACAAGGAATCCATGCCAGAAAACAGCAGGCGGCCATTTTTTTTACCCGGCGGCCATTTTGAAACCACGGGTCAGCTGTGCAAAAATCATCGCTTTGTGATGATCGGTTACCAAAACAGGGGACCGATCATCGCAAAGCGATATTCCCTCATAGGGAACATCGTTTTGCGATCACTTTTGCGATCGCAAAAACATCGACGTAAAGCAATTTCATCGTCAAACGGAGCGCTCGTAATGCGAGGCACCACTGTATTTTCTTATACTTTCTCGGAAGTACAGTGCCCAACCTGCTTGACTGCACACTATGCCTTTGGAAAAAGATCCCTTCATTCCCATGTTTGTTACATTCATATCTCTCTCTCTCTCTCTCTCTCTCTCTCTCTCTCTGTATTTATATGTATATTTTTACTTTTTGCCTCTGTTGCAGAGTAAGTTCACATCCCCACTGAACTACAAAACAGATTGTCAGTCATTCTCTACCAAGTCAATTTCACAAACTAGTTATGACAATAAAATGGAAAAGAGGGGGGATATGTATTCTGTCTCATGCTCACTGAGATAAAGGCACTATATAAAAGTACAGTAATGATCAAACAAATACGTTGAAAAATACATGCTATCCAATTTGATACAGTGATGGCCACAGGCCATGTACCCATAAAATGTAGCCATCACCTATTTTCCTGAGCTTCCTGAGCAAGGGCCTTCCGTGACCTGGAGTAGCCACTGAAAACACTTCAAAGACACCCCTGCATAGACTGTATTGCAATAATCACAATATGGTGTAAGTACGATGCTTGCCACCAAAATCAGATCAGACATTCCAGATTCATTGATTAAGTAGGATGCAGAGGATATAAAGGAGTACCATTCTGCATGGTTTGGATAATTTCAGTCAGACTAGAATTGTAAAAGTGTTTCAAATAAACAAAGCAAGGTAAAACCCAGACCTCACATTAAAGCAAAGTAAGATTTGCCTCTTCATCGAGAAATTCCTGTTTTGCTTAACTGAGTAATTTTGGTCATGACTTCCCCACCTGTTGTACCTCTTAGGATCTTATTCAGCAAAGAAAACAAATGAAATAAAATAGTGGACAAAATCTTACTGTGCAGCTACAATCATGTAAAAGAAAGCTGCAGAAGTGGTAGAAAAAATGTGTCAGAGTGGACATGATATCCACAGAACACTTCTGCCAGTACAGTATAATGTGCAGTAGTTTCAACATGCACCATGTCATCAACTGCACAGCTGTGACGTGAACCATACAATTGTGGTTGCCTGGGCCCAAGGCTTGGCACACTTCTGTAGATGTAACTTTACGTACACTCACTTGAACAGTATTTGAACCAATTTGTTTTATGTATCCTGGAACACCTTTTAATATTGTGATAGGTTTTGTTGTGAATACTATGATACTAATTAAGTAAAGTTCTAAGTAAGTTGAATAATTGGTGGCACTGTAAGATAAACTGATGCCTGCCTTAAACATAAATCCTCACTATGTTTGTTTTTCGGAAGAGACTTATTTGTATGATTTTTTGTATTGGAGCGATCTTTGTACATTGCAAAGATATTAGTGTTATCTACTAATTTATTGAGAATTAGCCAATGGTCAAGAGAAACAGATTCTCTGTCTCCTTAATTATGGTTAAAAGACTGATTAACAGTGTAAAAATAAATATTCATCCTTCTATTTATCCGATGGTTTTAAAATATTAGTTTAGACCTTCAGGCATTTGCACATGTAGCAGTTAAATAGCAGCGCAGTATGAATATTTATTTGATTTTTTTTTTTACTGAATTTTATTAAGAGATTTTTTTTATTTTTCACTTCCATTGTGTATGTGTTTTTCCTTCTGTAAAGTTAAGGTTTCTTTTGTCATTTTTCTATTCTTTTTGATTTGTATGATCTGTGCAATGAACTTAAAATATGCCTAGAATCATAAGATGGCATGCCAACTAACATCTAAAAAAAAAATTGAAATAAAAGAAATAAAAGCCACCCCCTTTTATTAAGCTAAAACAATGTTGTGTCTTTCTCCAAAAGGGCTCATGGGATTCTACAGAACATAAAGGTTTTGTGAATTTACCTGAAATCCAAGTGTTCTAATAGCACATAACCATCTAAGAAAAACGTAAGAAAAATTAATTGTGGTAGCAATTTGAGTTGCATACAAACCTAGAAATCACATGCCTTAAAACTAGCATTTAAATGGAAATGTACAAAAAATTGTCAGGCAATCAGTTTTCTCCATTTCAAAATATCAGATTCAAAGGTATATCCAAAAAAATGATCCCCACATCATATTTGATAGCATGATTAACTATTCTAGAAATAATATTACAGCAAAAGTCTAATTTCACAACTTGAGAAGCTCAGAATTCATCTCTGAAGTATTTATTGTGTATCGAGTCATTTATGTTTTCAAATCTGTATCCTGTTTCCCTACAAAGCCAGAGAGATCAACTGTGGTTTTGTAGGTTGTAACAATTGAGATAGCTAGTGTCTACTCATCTTATAACATGGCTCTCCCATAGATACAGCGCATGGTGTGAATTTGAAGGTCACAGATACAAAGTCACAGAACAGACTCCTCCTTGTACCTCTGGGTAGCCCTTGCCAGTTGCTGTTGACAGCAATAAACTACATGTACCAAAGGTCTGAATTGTTTAACACCAAGAAGAAACTTACATTTGCCTTCAGAATTCCGGCATAGTAGTTGGTTTCCTTCAGTAACATCAATAACTTCAAGTTGTTCTCCAGCTGTAATCTTCAAGTCCAGCTTCCCTTTGGTCAAAGTATTTGAACAGTGTGCAACTGCAGTATTAATTACTTTGATCTCTTTATCATACTGAGAAGGAGGAGGGAAATTAGTAAATTATACACATACAAAACCAGGAGTAAGTCCTATTGAAACAATAGGCTTCGACCAGATTAAACATGGGGAGGATGAGGTTGAAAGATCCAAAAGGGGGCACATACAAGAACTTTCACATATCCTGTGTATACGTCCATCTATCTGTACATATACATACCACACCCATCATTGTCATGAAGTACTTTGAAAAAGTCTCATTTTCAAAAGTTGGTTTCCACACAGCATAAGGAAGGTTATTTGGGAAATGCAAGGCCAAACCTTGATCAGTTACTTCTTTATAGCCTATTTCTGTACTTTTAACTGATAAAAGATCTACAGATTCTAGAAAGTCCTCCATGAACAGTGCATGTGATACTTTCCAACTGAAGTCCACATTTGGTCGGTTTTCAAAGATGCAGTGGCCAATGCATAAGACTGCTTGAAACCCCATGAGACCACATCAATTCTGGGGAATGAACTATATTTAGATCCACTGATAGATCCACTAATATATTTTCAAATGTTTTAATTGCTGTGGATGCTGCTAAAATAGCAATTCATCTTTTAACCAGCACTTGCCATTCTTTCAGATGGAAAAAAGGTTAATCAACCACAATTAGCATTTGCTATCCTATGGTTTGGTAAAAGGACGTCCATAATTTCATGAACTAACAAAATAAGGTTTTCAGCAAGTTAATTGTGTCATCTTGTTTCATCATGTAAAACATATTAGATCTCAGAAAGTGGACTGAAATCCATGAAATCTCAAACAGAAATAAATCTATTAACTTCTAAGGTTCCACAAGGGTTTTTTTTAATTTGTTGTTGTACATAACAAAATTAAGGTTAGAAAAAGGAGCTAATGGAGGATCAATTAATAGAAAAATGGAGGGTTTTCATTATATATTTGAGCACTGTAAAGGTATAAGATGTAATTCAACCATTCTGTTCTGGGCATTATTTAATACTACTTTGACTAGAAGTAAAGCAATTACAATTTTTACAGTGTCTATCTATTGTGCGTCATGCATTTATGCATATTGTTATGTCCACCATAATTTTTAAAAACTGATTGCACCGAGCCCCAAAACTCTGGACAACCTCTCCTAGCAGTTTCATGCAGATGTTGAATAAAATGGCGGACAGAACTGAAGTCTCAGAACATCACCAGCTAACAGCCAGGGTTTTGAACAGGAATCTCCCAGCATCATGTTCTGAGTTCTCTCCCCTAGGAAGGACTGGAGCCACCGTAAAACAGTGCCTCCAAATCCCATCCCAGAAAAGTGCTCCAGAAGAATACCGTTGTGAATGGTATTGAAAGCTGTTGAGAGGTCCAGCAGAACCAATGGGAACACACTCTTCAGAGCAGGCTGTTGACTGGTCATCATCCTTCTCTTGTGGTCATCTGTGTAACAGATCCTTGACCACTTGAAAGAGCTCTGCTGTATGGCTCTGTTCAGATGCAATGGCGTCAGAGAAGAATTGTGGGTTTTTTGCTGGCACCACTACCATCAATTAGCATAAATTATAACATGATTTAAACAGAACAGTGTTCTGAAATGTTGCTATGCACAGTTCTGGCAGGAGATGGCACACTGCATAGTATATTTTCATGCAACGCAAATCGGGAGCGATAGGGAACCATACTGACATCTTCCATCATCCCTTATTTTAAAGACAAACCAGCCAACCAGCCAGAGGGTGCATACCATGAACTTCTCTCTAAACAATTTTTCCTCTTTTGTCATCTTGTTATTCTTCTCCAAATTATATTTCTTGACCCTAAATAAGGTTCTTGGAGAAGAGCTAGAAAGAAAAAGATAAATATGATTTTTTTAAAAGATACATAAATTCTGTACAAACACAGGGTGCAAGTGTAATTAGTAAACTTAAGAGATGTGAAGCTTGTAAGTCAAAACATACCTATCTGGGAATAAAGCACCATGAACTCAGTGAGATTTACTTCTATGCAGAGAAACACATATTCCACCATAAATCTCACACAACACAGTGGAAATTACTTCAAAGTAAAATTCATAGGATCACACTAAAAATGAGCTATGTTAAGCACGGAACACATACTACCTTTTCTTTTATCCCCATGACAAATGTCTGCTTTTGATTTTAATATACCTACATCTTCTGGGGCGAAACTTGGAGAAATCTAGTTTGCTTATGATCAGTGAGAGGTCTCGACTTATGTAGAAACATAGGCCAAAGGCTTGTGTAATTTTCTGAGACTAAATGCAGCTAATTGATGGGTTATCAGGGCATATCTTGGTCATATGCCTGGATCCTGGCCCAGTGGTACAACCGAGGTGTGACATGGCATCTCATTGATTAGTTTCAATTAGATGTGGCAAGTTACACAAATCTTAGGTGAACACCAGTAGCATTCCTGCTGTAAATGTTACAGACAGTATCTGTTAAAAAGACTGATTAAATATCCAACGTTTCTCTCCTTAGACTTCTGCATCATTGCTGTACCTCCTTCAGTCCTTCTTTTTGACAAGAGGAATTTTAACTTCCAGTTTTTATTAATATCTTTCTTCCTCCAGCAAGGTAGGAGTGGGGAAACGAGATGTTTTCCTAATAACATAGCCACAGCAAAATGCTGACTTGTCCAACAGACAATGAGTATCAGCAAGATAAAACAAGATACAATGCAACAACAGGCCTCATTTCATGCACCACTGAATCACAAAAACACTTCCAAATAGGAATCATGTAGTGACGGCAGCACACAGAATTTCAGTTCAATAGGTTGCAAACAGAACACCGAGCAGCCTCCATCCAGGCATAAAGCTACAAGGTTATTTTTTGCTGGTTATTTTTAAAGTCGGTCTTAAAACAGATGCTAAAAATGGAAATTTTCTTCAAGTACCAGATGAACTTTTGCCCCGCAAAAAAGAGACATTTTTACACGTTTAATAGTTATTATCGCTGAAGAACTAGTTCATTGTTGCTAAGCTTTTTTTTACCTCAGGACAAAATCATAGTTCACAATATTCTCTCTCCAGGCTTATTTTGTTATCCAAGTAAATTAGGAATAGAAGAATTTGTTTTGCTTTTTGCAATGTTCACACGTAGTTTCCACATACAAATAATTCTCTCCTGCTTTTACTTCTGTTTGTGATTCTCCCCCACCCCCCAACAATATACTCTATTATATGTATGTTACGTGAATTTCTGGCAAGTGCTCTGCACAGATATCCTTGTCATTGGACATTCATATATGGCTTGGGTAAGCCCCACACCTATTTGCAGGTACCAGAGCACAGGATGAGAAGGAATGTTCTTTTCTCTAGGAATTAATTTTCTCATCAAAATGGGGAAAGGTTAGATGGAATAGCACAGCTCCTATGCCCCCACATGTACTGGAACCGAAACTGAGACAGAAGCAGAGCCAAGCTGATATATCTCTCTGGCTCCAAGATTAAAAGAGTCATACTTGCCTTGGAGTCACATCTCTTGATTAAGGGGATGGGATGGCAATAAAGGGAACACAGTGTATAATGTAGAGTTTACAGAACTACAAGTTCCATGACTCCCTTATAAAAAAGGAAAGCTTATGAACTCATCAACTCTATGGCATAAGAACATCTGAAAAAGCAGCCTGCAAAGACATTTTGACGCCAACTCAAAATTGAGCAATAATAGATCAACCCTAACATTTCAGGATGCATGCATTTAAATTTTTTAGACCCTAATGCAACAAGGCAGCAGCTATCATAAGTTTGTACAATTTGTCCAAATTTTACCAAAATTGTTCTTGAAAGTGTGAGGACTGTCTTTCATACAGCAAGGAAATATCTCACCTAGTGAGAACAGTTTTTCATTTTCATGTGCAAGAACAAGAAAAATCCTTAACACTATCAAGGATGTCTTAATAGCACCACAGTCTGAAGAAGTAACTTTACTTTGGCAAAAAATAAATTTTGATTTAAGAGAAAACAGCCGTTATTGTTACCATTTACTTACTTTGTATCCATTTGTTCAGCGCTGACATTATTATACACTATGGCCTCCTTGGCTATAATATCTGTCACCAAAATCAAACAGTCATGGATTATTTATCACATATAAAGCACCTGAAGTTTCCAAAGTGCTGTATAAATATTAAAAAAAAACAAGAAACAGTCCCCACCCATCAATCTATAATCTAACAGACACAAAATGAAAAAAAAAATTGTAGAGGAAGAAGAGAATAAGTCCATTCAAATATCAGCTCTTAAAAGTAACCGTGTGGCCCCAGTTAGTTCTAGAAGGCATAACACAGACATTACATCTCCAAGCCAGCAATTCTCCCTCTGTCGACGCTAAAACAGCTTATTTCAAAAGCATCCCATTCTTGGAATATTCAAGAATATGTCAGTGTAGTCACCAAAATATTTAAAGATCAAAGACTTCCCAAGGTCTTATGCCACAGGGTGCCCACCACACAAGACTGTGGGCTGCATGCAGCTCCCCTTGGTTCTGCAGTTTTCCAGCCCAAGACTGTAATGGCTGAAATCTGGTAGCATATCATGCTGCCAAGTTGCAGGCTCAAACTGCCAGCAAGCAAAAAAGAAAGGAAGGAAGAGCTTAATTTAAATCAAGTGACCACATCAAGACATCTGGAGACCCATTTTCTAACCCCTACATCCTCCAGGAGCCAAACAGACTGCAAATATTGGGGGAAGTGGAAGATGTTGGAAAGGGAAAGCAAAAGCAAAGCAAAGCAAAGAAAAGAAAAGAAAAGAAAAGAAAAGAAAAGAAAGAGGCAGCAGAAAAGCCACTTGCAGCTCCAGGATGCTTTGACAAATTGCTTATATGGGATTAATGGTGGAAGGTGTGGCAACAGCTGTTGTAGGCTGCAATTCCCAATAAAGAATTAACTCTAATGCAGAGTAATAGATATGAGGCAACATATTCTAAAAAATGATAGAATGCAGTTTAGACAGTTACTGAAGATAGGTAGAGGAGCACCTCAGTACTTATCTATAGCAAAGCATCACAGGGGAGCTAGTCCCTCCTTTTAAGAGAGGGGAGTTTGACAATTGAATATATAAGCTTACCTAGGTTTGGTGCAGAACGGGATAGGTTGCTGAAATGGAAAAACAAAAAAGAGCATGCATCGTTTATGAATAACAGCACTGATAGCACACAGGTACAATTAGAGTTCAAATCGGATTTTATCTGTGTACATACCTTTTGGAATGTACTTAAAATATCCTTCAAACTTTTAAAATGCAGAAATAGGTGTTTGTTTTGTTAGAGAAAAATCACTTTGTGGAGTCAGGTGGCAGATCCATTTGGTAGTTAATCAAATAATTTAATGAAAAGTCACTCTTTAACCCAAATATAAAATACGTACCGGGCATTGTCTTTCAATTGTGCATTTTTTATTTTGAATTTTCCTTTCTTGAACAATTTTCCAAACCCCTTTAGTTTTTCGACTTTAGCATCTCTAGGTTAAAAAAAAGAAAGAAATCAAAATGCAAACACCCTTTACCATTTATTAAAGTAACATTGATAGAATGACTAGGATTGGCAAAAGGACGTAACCCTAAATATGGTAAATAAGAACCTACTGTACAACACTTCAGTATCATGGGATATAATACTTGCAACCAGTTTAAGAGCGACAATTCATGTGCATACCAGGAAAAGACAAGACTAAATGTAAAAAGAAAAAACAACACAATAGTGCAAGGAAAAGTGGAAGGCAGCAGGGAGATGTGAACACAGACCATAGAATGGATTGACTAAATAAAGGAAGCTGTGCCTTTTGAAAGACCTCAGCAGAGTTGTTAATACGATTGTTGGGATGGCACTGATTCATTGGGTCATCATATGTAAGAAGACAATAATAGTTTACGAAATCTTTAGAAAGGATTTGAAAACTCTGTAGTGCAGAACTCCAAATGGCAAATCCATGTTCAGAGAAAGACTGTGAGAACGCAGAAATGAAGCCTTATCTTGCAGTTTCCCTGCAATGCGATTTGTCGCTTTTGCTTTGCTGACTGAACTTGCTTTCTTTGTTGCTACTGTTGATGAGGCGAGGCTAAAATTTTGGAAATCATGTGGGAAATCAGTGCTAGCTCAAATATTAATATTAAAGGGTTAAAAGATAAATCATTTCATTAATATTGGCATTAAGAGAGTTTATAAAATGAATGTGCAAGTCAATTAATTTGTTGTTTCATTTAAAAATGTTAGCATGGGTGGTAATGAATCAAACTGATGAGAAATTTTAATCATTGCCCAGAATCCTATTGGTTATTTGTGCCAGCATAAGCACAATGGCATAATTGCCACTAGCTAACAAGTCACAAAACAATTGTGTATGTGGGTGAGTGATAAGGGACACAAGCAGCAACTCAGTGAATAATGGTAATTTACCATTGTAATTTATGCCCATGCTCACATGCATAAGTATTAGAACTCTGATCTCTTATTAAAATAGTGTTGATGTCTAGTCCACCAAGGCAAGTCTTACATCAGAAACTGTCTGTTATATGTGCATTTACCCTGTGAAACAGATTGACTCAGTGCCAGGCCATAAAGTATATGTGTATCACAATAGCATTGTTTAATGCCTTCATTAAACAGTGAGATTTAGAACACAGGCCTAAATCTGACAGCTGGCCCCCATTAAAGTAGACTAACTGGCCAGAATCTTGTTGCACAAGCCAGGAGATTACCCTGTTAAAGCCAATGGAACTTTTACAAAGAAATACTGGAGACTTCCTTTTACAGGCACTGAAAAAGCGGAACCTCTCATGGGACATGAACTTTAACATGAGAGAGACGAGACACCAGGATTCTGGTCACTGAATCAGTGAGATTTATATTAAATATTGAATTATCATTCAATATTTAGCCAACAGCATCCCAGCCAGTATCTCAACGTAGTAAGACACACTAGAGTAGGCCTATTGAATCAGTGGAACTTACAGACTCACCAAATTCCTACTTATTCAATGGCTCTACTCTAGTGTGATTTACTATGATAAGCAACAGAATTTCAGCCAATGAGTCTACTCTAGCGAGGATTAGAAATGGATGTGGGCCAGTATAAAGATCTTCTGACCAGCGCCCTGATGCAGTGAAGTCTTTCCAAAGACACTTTTGAGACATTGCAAAGTTAATTTACCTCATGAATCTCTTTTTCTGCTATGTTTATAGATTTGCACTGAGTTAGAGTTACACAGATATATACATTTTATATGCCAACTACACAGTCTGGATAAACAACGCTTCAAATAATGTGTTTTAATGCAACATATGTTATGCCTTTGAAAGGCAATGTGTCAGTGTGACAAGTACATACATAACACAGGGTCCATCATCAAGGGCAGAAGACTGGCCACACTTGCCTGGTAAGTGTGAAATGTACAGGTTTTTACCTGGGTAATATGTGGAAAGGTTAAGGCATACAGATAATAGAGAGGCAACTTCTTGTGAGATCAAAGGGAGAGACAGAGAACTCACTCTATTTTGGATGATCCATAACCTTCATTTTGAATATCCTCATACGTTTCTTCATAGGCATCACCTGCAAATTAATAAACAGAAAGAGGTACCTTCAATTCATGGCAAGAATATAGAATTCTAGTAAAAAAAAAAATAGATGCTCAGACCTATCTCAGAAGTACCATATAGAATTTTGTATACTCAATTACCATCAAAAGACTTGGAAAAAATATTCGAGTCTGGAATGGTTATTTTTTTTAGACTGCTAACTTTCTGAATCTCCCTGTCTTCATTTCCCCTGTAGTCCATAAAGATAACTGTCCCAGGCTTACAGAGGCATGGCGGTTTTGAATGCATAAAACATCACTTTACACAATTTTATTCTGGATCCCAAAAAGATGAACAGCTAAAGCCCAAGTGTTCCTCCCTCCTTCAGAATTGAATGTTTCTATGCTGTTAGTCATTCTGATAGATAATAAGATATAGATACAGAAAATAGGTTATGAAAGGGATTGAAGCAGTGAAGGAAGGAACAGGTAACTTTCAAATCCACAATATCTACAAGAAGAAATGCCCAAAAATCTTACACAAATAAAAGGAAATTGCTATTGGAAGGTCACTGAGCATTGAATTATTATTCAATCTATAAATTCCGACATAAGGACATGTTAAATGGGCTATACCTATATGGTACAGTAACTAGTTTTCAAAAAACACTAACCTATCTTAATAAGCTTTGCTAATACTATACAGTCCATATATTCTTTGTCCAAAAGTCTATAAAATTAGTGAACCAGAAGAGCAGACTAAAACCTACCACTATTCCTGCCATGAAACATCAGCATAAAGTTACATTAAAAACAGTGATGACCATGACTTCAGCTATTGCACACAGAATTGCTACTATTAAGTATTATAATGGGTAAATCAGTTTCTCATAAAAGGACCACTTTTTCCAGATAGGCTGGAAAGTATCTGTGCTTAGCTATAAAGCTTACTGAGCGACCTAAGGCCAATTGCTATCTCTTAGCTTAAAATGGTGGCAGTGTAGAACCAGGTATGCAATCCTGACCTTAAATTAAAGAAGCGGTGTATTTAAAAAATCGTGAATCACTGAAGGTCACAGATAGATCCAGAAAGAGGAGGAGAAGTAAAAGGAGGAGGAATGTCCCAAAGATGGCATGCATCTTCTTGGAAAGGAAGGAGTATGATTTAAGCCTTGAGAGCCTACCACATCTGTCTGTCCATCTGTCTATGGACCGGTCTCTCCAAAAGGACCCAAGGTGGCTTACGTCATTAAAGCAATATTTAAAAGCTAAAAACAGCAAGTATATAAATATTTAAAAAGAACTACACAAACATTATATTAAAGTGATAACTAAGATCAATTAGTTAAAACAACAGAGCACAACAATCCATTTAAAACCCCTCTCAGACTACCAGTCATTAAGAAAAAGGTCTTTGCCTTCCTGTGGAAGGACATACAACAAAGATGGAGCCATACAATTCGATACAGGATCACTGGATAGAGGAGAAATGCCCTAGAACAAGTTATTCTGCTACACAAGGAAAAGACATAGAATAGGAATTCCAGTTTCACCGATTAATTACCAATCCATTGGTTGGTACCCACTAACTTGGTTCTTAAGAATGACATGATGCTGGATTGACAAAGGATTCCAGAACAAGAATGTGGATACCACCACACTATCCTGTATACACCAATTTAGAAAACGAGCATTGGGTCATACCTGCTTAATATTTGGATGGGATGCAAGAAGCTCAGTGCTTATGACAGGTACATTAAGTACAACCATGGAAGCTGAACTCTTATTAGTAGCATGCCCATATTTCAGATGGAGATAGGACTGGAGATGATGAGAGTTAAAAGTTGAAGAGAGATTTGACCTAGGATGCCCTACTCATGCACTTAATCACTACTACATCTGCTTTTGAAGGAGAATTTTAGGTGGCTTTTCCAGTTAAATGCATTACAAATATGAAATGTTTGGTTGGATCATAAGACAAAAGCAAGTTCAGGGTGTCTTATACAAGTCAAACATAGAGAATATGGCGCTTGAGATCCCAGAGTTACAAATTCAGCTGCAAGTGAACTGTGTTACTGTATTGGAAACTTTTTGTAAGTAGCTATGAAAAGTAACACTTGATAGTCAGTGCTCCTATTTAGGCAGACACACTAAGGGCTCAATCATACTTGCCAAAGGAATCCCAGTTATACCGTTTTTGCCATTATTTGAATTGTTTCAAAAAAATTTCATTCACACGATGCACAGCTAACATAGACTTGCCTCAGCAATTGGTTTATTTCCTCCTTGATGGGAGGGTTATTTTAAAATGTACTAATCATGTATCAATCCATTCCTTATTATTTCAGTGTGAATATTGCTGTCAATTTAGAGATATGCAGGGAAATAAGGAAGGGGGATGAATAAGTAAAGGAGGGAAGGGGAATGGGGAGGAGGAGAAGGCTCAAACCACTGTATTGATATATCACTTTTGTAATAATTTTTAAAAGGACAAAAGGAGGTTTGATTGCCCCCCAAGAAACAGTAGAGAAAATGAGTAGATAGAAAATTTAAAAGCAGTATAGCCTGCTATACTGGTTCAAATAGAAAGAAATACAGCAATGCAGTTCAAACCAATGTAAATTCTCCTACCAGTATATATACTGCGTGACCACAGGGGGGGAAAATATGTATCGGTACAAGAAAGAGATGAAAATAATCAGTGTAATTGGGGTTCTTTTCCCATGTGCGACTGAACCCTAAATTGAGTGATTGGGGAGTGCAGAAAGTTCCCTGGAAGACTTAAGATTAGCTCTGAATAAGTCCTCTCTGCAATCACATAACTGGCACATTTTGTTCATGTTATATTTATTTTAAAATGTGTTACTTTCACACTTACAGGTATCTGAAGCAAATGAGCGATGGGCTTCACAGGCTTGCCTGCAACAGAAAAAATGTTCAAAAAGAATAGTATCAAAAACATGCTTCAGATGCTAAAAGGCATATTCAATTTTTCAAAAGCTTAAACTGACACTTAGATACTCTATTCCTGCAGAGCACTCACAGGTCTCTCTGTATTCCTTCCACATCATCGTACATATCCTCCATCGGCTGCTCCAATTTAAGGGGTCTTGAGTCTAGGCTTGCTTGCTCTTCATCTATTTTCAAGGTTTCTGGGCACACATAGCCATCTGAAAATGGAGCAGAATTATACTTTACAGGCTCTCCAGAATGTATGCAAAGGGATAAAATACCCGAATAGATTGAGACTGAAGAGATAAGATTGAATTGTTAAGTAAATTCCAATGAACCTGATGGGACTTCTGAGCAAACATGTGTAAGGTTGTGTTGTAGGCCCTATTCTTTTACAAGTTACAAAAGAAGTTATGAACAATATAGTGTCTTAACAAAAAAATATGAATACTGTAAATGGGTTCAAATTCAATACAGATATCTGGCACTGTATGAATCGTTAATATATTCCTGGGAAGAGGTGCATGGTAGGGACCACAGTTCTAAGATTCAAATACAGAGATGGGCATGAATGGGAAAAATGATGAATCAGGATGGTTCATGGTTAACAATGGACCACGAACTAACAAGAACCCCTGGAAAAATGAACCTGTTCGTGGTTCATTTTTCTCTTCTGTGCCCAGTGGGAGTGGAACTTACTGCCTCCACCCCTGTCTTCTCCCTGCCCCCTTCCTTCCTGACCTGCCTCCCTGCCACCTCCTCTGCCTTGTCCTCCCCCACTGCCACCACCATCTTCAGAGAGAGCATCTTGGCTTCCCTTCCAGGAGCCAGGTTTGTTGTCTCTGTGCATGTGCACACCTATCACCGGGAAGGGAGGCTGGGTCACTATCTCTGAAGATGGCAGCAAGAGGAGGACCAAGTAGGGAGGTGACAGGGCAGCAGGGAGAGGAAAGTGGGCATCCATTTTGCCAAAGTAAAATGAAGCACCAAGTGGAAAAAAAAGTGGTGCTACATTTTGTTTCAGCAAAATGAGTTGCATGAACCGAACCATGAAGCAGCCCAGTTCATGGTTTTTCCCCCACAGTTCCCTGTTCAATTCGTGCCCATCTCTATTCATGTACTTTGCATGCAGGAGTTTCCAAAAATCAGCTCCTGGTGTTTCCAGTTAAAAGCACATCTTTTCATTTCCAGCTGAAACTGGAATAGAACTCCTTTTTACAAGTTCTCCCGAATGCATGCAAAGGGATATAATGCCTACCAAAAATGCAGCAGTGAATTCTGTGTATATCAGAGAAAACCACCATGACTGACAACTTCTCTGTGCATGCCTCCTAAAAAATCTGATGCTAAATCAAGAGCCAAACAGAATTTTCAGTCATTGCTGTCCACTGTGCCTCCTGAAAGGTGAAATATGGATGGCATATTTCATCGAACAGGAGCATAAGTGTGTTCCCAAACAGCGATGCGTTGAAAGTCGGTCTCAGCAGAACTCAGAATCATGCATGTTAAATCCAGGAAGAGATGTTCAAAGGGAGCATTCCTGGGGTGACAGCAAGCGAAAGGGGCACATTTGTCACACCTACCACTCTGCTGCACAAAGCAACTGTATTAGCATAGCTTACTGCAGGACTAGCACTGAGGATTTGGCAACATATGCCTTGCATAAAAAAGAGCAACTTTCAATTTACTCCATAAAAAAATAAGAAAAGCAAAAACTTGATGAAGAAAGTGTAATTACACAAGATGTACCTTTATTATGAACGACAATAATAACAAAACAAAACAACAACAACAACAAAAGATTGTGCTGGGGACATTTATTGGTTTCAGTGTTTTGAAGCCAAAGCAGTTACGCTTAAAGCAATGGTACTTCAAGCAACAAATTGGAAGCTGAAATGGTTTCCTATTGTCACCCCAGAAAGGAACAAGACCCCAGCTTTGAATGCCTTTTATAAACCATTCTCTGTCCTTCAGGTAGATTCCTAGTGGGCTCTTGAGCATCCTAACCCTTCCCAACAAAGCCAAGAATCTCAGTTCCATTTTCTCACTACTCTCATAGCTTTCAGTGCAAGTCACAAATGCATCTGACATATGAATGAGGCTTTCACATTTCAGTGTTTATACTTGAAGGAGATGTAACCGTGTGAAACAAACCGAGCTCCCAACTCACAAACACTGGGAGACTCTTTTGTATTTGAAAAGCAAAGCCATTAGCAAAAGAAGCTAAGGAGGTTTACAAAGAGCATACACCTCTGAAAGAAGTTAAAGCCTTTTGCCAATAAAACTCCCAAATCTAAGTGATAAGGAGGAAGGTTTACTCTTTGAATGACAAGACAAGGTCAGTTTTTTTCACAGCAAGACCTTTAGAAAGATTTAGGAAACAAGACCTTTTTCTGTTCTTATGGGATAACCTTGTAGTGATCCCTTGTTTATTCTATTAAAGAAAGATAAAGTAATATCTGGGTTCATCTCAGACTGCTCTCAAAATTAAGTAACAGGTATCTTTACTATTGTGCAGTCATGGGTCCACATTAAAACAATAGAACACTAAAACCAGAACAATAAAACAATAATTTAATATCTAAAAGAATGTAGTCATTGTAAATGATAATGCCTTTTTATGAGATCTTGCAACAACAACAAAAAAGTAGCCACAGACATTGTGATTAATCCCACCAACAAAAGTCATTGTAAATGATAATGCCTTTTTATGCAACAACAACAAAAAACTTAACCACAGACATTGTGATTGATTGGTTTATACCTGCCAACAAGTATGCCAGATACAAGGAGAATGGCCTTCCAGACATTTCATCAGGATAAGACAGCAAAATCTGTTACACTCTTCTCTGTGGAGGTTTCATTCAAAAAAAGACATGTGCTAATTCTCAAAAGAATATTCCTGTATCGTTTCAGATTGGTCAAAGAGTTACACACATATTATCTGGGATCCTTACAACATTTAAGGCAAGGGTGGGGAACTGGTTTTTAGGAAATCCTCACTCTTCTGATCCCAGATAATGTTGGGGGTAGATGTCACTCAACATGACGGGTGCCTCAGGTGGCATTCACAGCTGTGAAGGAGGATCTGCCTTTGCTCTTTTTGCATCTTGCTTTAAGACACGGATGTGCAAAGTGCATCCTTGCTGTCAAATGTAACCCAGCAGGGCTGCGTTTGTGCCTCCTCCATCATTCCCTTCCAAAAAGTTGCATTGCAGCGCCAAGGAGCCTTAGGATGGATGGTTTGCCTTTTAAATAGATCTCAGGGGAAAACTGTGCTTTTGAAAACCTGAAGAGTCCTAGTTTTCAAAACATTTTGTGTATGTGCATGTGTATGTGTATATGTAGGTTGTTTCTGAGTTAGTTGTTCGTTTGTTTGTTTGGGGTTGGGTGGGAAGGGCATTTTGGGCTGTGTGTGCAGTTCCTGGAGATTCCTTCAGCAGAAAAGCTGGTCCCTGAGCCAATTTCCCACTCCTGCTTTAAGGCAAATCAGTATTCTTATGACTCATATCGCACACAGAGGCTAAAATCCTGTCACAAAATTATGCAAACTGCCATAATAAATCTCCACAGGCATCATCTGTTGCATGCCTATGGAAGTTTCTTACCTTACGGCAATTTCCTTCCAAAGTTCACTCTGTCTACATAACTTCACAACAGGATTTCAAGCCATACAGTCTAAAGCCAGAACTGAATGGTTTATATTCTTCCTGCCAAAACAAGGCCAGAAGCAAATGGCAGTACTTTCAGATTTACTCTAATATCCAACATTAAAGCTGAAAAAGAACACTAAAAGACTCGTAATGCCAAAATTTAATATAGACAAGTTTCCTGATGAAGCTAAAGTTCACATAAGAAACAGATTTGCATTACTAAAACTCAAATGACCATAAACCAGAAGAACTGTGGATTGAAATCACAGATATTATTAGGGAAGAATGCAAAAGGACAACTCCTGTAGTAAAAAAGAAAAGAAAAATCGACATAATGATGGAGGAAACACAGAAATAAAGAGCAAGAAATAAAAGTAAAAGCTGACAGAAAAGAGGTCTGAATCCTCAATATAGCTTTCCACCTATAGTCATGTAGCCATCCAGAGACAAAGACAACTATTATAATAGCCTGTCCAATGAAATAGAAGAAAAAATAAAAGGGGAAAAACCAACAGGGAAGCACAATATCTGACTAGCACCAAATAAAGAAAAGGTGGAAACAGTATACTGAAGATCTGTACAGAAGAAATAAAAGGATGACAAACTCGTTTGAAGAGGACTTCTATGATGAAGAACCTGCAATTCTAGAAAGTAAAGCTACCCCAAAAGCACTAGGAGTAGATGGGATACTGATGGAAATACTTCAAGCCATCGGCCGTTTTTGACCCGCCGAACAGCTGATCTGCTGTCTCGTTGCGGCCGAAATGGCCGCACGCAGCATTTTCACGCCCTCCCCTCACTTACTGAGGTTGAATCTGTTAAAATCCTAACAAGAATATGCCAACAAATATAGACAGATGGCATACAAACAAACAAAGAATAGTGCACAGACTGGAAACATAGATAGACATTGCAATCCTTGAGAAAGGTGATGCTAAGGAGTGCAGTAACTATAGGACCATTATCTAATTTCCCATGCAAGCAAAGAGATGCTCAAGATATTCAACAATACTTTGACTTTATATGTTCTATCTGGCTCACAACTAGTTAGTGTGCTAATCAGAATTACTTGGGACTCTTCATCAAAACCTTTGCTGAAGCCAAGATACATCTACAGCATTCCCACCATCAAAGAAAATCTTCAACAACTATCTGGATTTCTGACTTACCAAAAGAACTTAAGACTGAAGTTCTATGGACAGTTGCCTGGGTACAAGTCACACAGGAAATTAAGAATAAGATTATAGCAAGAAGGTACTCACAATTCCCATCTTTTGTTACTCCTTCTTCAGGTAAAGATGATGTGGTCTCCTCTTGAAGCAGGTACTTCTCACCTCTACATTCTCCATTTATTTTTGGTTTAGTGAGCACTCTATCATGGCTACTAATCTAATAGCAAACATGTTGATATTCAGGTTAGAGTAGTTTCAATATATTTCTTGCCCAATTCATGCTACAAGAAGGAATAGTTTAATGTTATTACATCAGGAACTCTGGGGTCAGATCCCTTATGTTTTCTCATTCAGGCAGCAACTAGAAATCAAACTGCTTAACACCAGCAAAATGGCTTGATCAGATGTCTTCTAACCAGTGCACATAATGTAACTATTTCCATATAAAAAGACAACACATTGTAGAGGCTGAGATCCTATGAACATTTCTTAAGAGAAAATTTCTGAACCTCATCCCCAGTAACACTCATCTTATACTTAGTCCCTGGAAGGGACACAGCTCTATGATACATACACACACTTCTATGTACATGCTATATATAGAAATATTGCCTATTTTTAATGGTTTAAATGTTTTTTTTAAAGTTTTGATATTGTTGTACCCTGCTCAGAGACCATTGGTAATGGTGCAGCTAAAAAAATCTTGCAAATAAATTTCCACAAGCAGGCAAAGACCTTCCTCTTCAGATAGGCTTTTCCTTAGTGACTGGCAGCCTGACAGGGTTTTTTTTAATGAATTGTTGTGCTCTGTTTTTAAAATATGTTTTTAGCATTGATTTTATTTACTGATTTTAATATAATACTTGTTTGATTCCCTTTTTAAATATTTGTATACTTACTGTTTTTTGCCTTAAAATACACTGTATTGGGTCATTTTAAGGAGAAAGATGAGGTAAAAGAAATGTAAATAAATAAATAAATAAATAGAATATATATGTACAATGATTTGCATGTTCAGTCAAAAGGATTACATTATCCTGCCACATTTCTGAGAAAGCTGGCAGCCACCCTTTGGAGCCTCAAATAGGAAACACATCCTGATGCAATCTACACTACTATTTGAAATCTAAGTCATCTTCAAGCAATTATGCATTATCATCAGAAGATGCTCATTTAGACAACAGTTTTCCCTCACTCCAGATATCACCATGACTTTTGGTCCAGATGTTTATGATGTTCAACAGCATACATTTCTAATGGTACATGGCTTAGTGTAACACTGAGAAGGAAGCTGTAACAGATTAGCTCCAGGATCAGCGGCCCAGAAGAAGATCTGAGTAGTTTCCCACAGTGGAAGCTTTTGCTCTGCAGAATGTTATGGAGAACTTGAAGCAACCACAGATGTGCTGAGAAGCAGAGCTGACTTTCTTCCCCCGCTTACATTGTTCCAGAAGTAACTAGAGAATTACATAACTCTCTGATTAAATAGTCTATCACGCAATTGTACTTTAAATCTTGTTTTAAAATAACCACAATATAGTATTATACGTAAAAGCAAAGTAGAAATAAAAAATTTTAAAAGGAAAAAAATGTGATAGCACCTTAAAGACTAACTTATATAGCTTTCGTGGACAAGTCTGATCAATTATATTTAAATATAATATATTTAAGTCCACTTCATCAGATACGTCCACAAAACAAGTCCACTTGATCAGACTTGTCCACGAAAGCTCACATTAAAAAAATATGAAAGTTAATCTTTAAGGTGCCGCCACATTTTGTCTTTTTTAAAAAACTTTCTATTTCTATTTTGCTTTTACCTATAATTCTTGCACAGACTAACAAGGCTACCCCTTCTACAACTACCATAACATAGCAGTCCCTTATTTCCCTAATATTCCTCTATTTAAATATACCTTGACTATTTCTTTAGCTTGTTTTGTTGTTTCAGGATTCCAGAGTGGTCCTCTCCCTTTTGTATCCTCTGTTCCAATGCTGAAACATTAACAGATATACATGCTGTTGTGCCACAGGGATGTAATGATAATATTATGGGGGTAAATGTAGTGTGTCATACCATATAGTCTATTACTCAACTAGTAAACTTTTGAAAACCATTTTAAACACATGCATTACATCCATACTATTCTATATAATTCATTGCTTTGTGATCTGCATTGTTTAAAAATATCCTTGTACTACACCATGATAAGCATTATTGACATGCACAACCAACAGTAGGTCCTCCCCTTCCCATTTCACATTTTCAGATAAGATAAGCTTGCCAATCTCTTCTTAATGGCCCTGGTTGACATTCAGGAGATAGAAGTTACTCAGGCATTCATCTGATATAAATAAGGGGTCACTGGCAGATTACTAGCATGTTACCAGAGCTAGCATACACATTGCTGAGTTAAGAGCTAAATTGAAATTACCATCATAATCCCATGTAATGACATATTTCCCAGCTCCTGTTTACAGAAGGCTTAACAAATCACCATGGGCTTGCCTTCTTCATCCCAAGCTCCCATGCTAAAAGTGAAGTTTCTAATTTTACAAAATGGCATTTTCCCAGCATTTTGGGGATAACATTACGATTGGTATAGTGTACATAATTATAACAGTCCTATCAGTTTTATGGAGAAACACCAGAAGCTATATAAATGCACACAATTCTTGTATCTTTTGGAAGATATTCCCCCCTCCTTTTTTGTTACCGTTTTATTTTGTTTTTTGTTTCTTTGCATTGATTGTTATAGTTTTCTTCGTCTCTATATGCAAATCTCTGAAAAGTTGCATTTAGGATTCAGGCTTCATTTCAGCAACTTTTGTTTTTGCTTCTCATTTGTCATAAACGATTTTGAGAGTTTCCTTAGCCATCCATTGAGGCTTTTCTTTTCTTTTGAGTACTGGAATAGTCTCTTTCCATTCTTCTCTGATAATATTTCTGGTGTCAATCCACCATTATTCTGGATCATGGTCAACTGAATTTAATAATACAAACCTGTTCTTTACATGACCTTTAAATTCTTCAGGAATATTATTTAAATGCATATTCTGTCAATATGATTGCAGCGTTTTACAGTTTTACTCTTATTTGGGATATAAACAGTTCATGATTGTATCACGGTCCACTTACCTTGTTTTTGGAGACAAGACAGTTTCTCTGTCTTTTGCTTCCAGCTAGACACAGGATTTTTGAGGTACAAACATTCAGAAGTACTTCATCATTACCTTCTATCATTCAGTACTAACAAGAGTTATCTTGAGTGTCACTGATAACACCTATGAAAGATCTTCCATCTTCAGCTATTGCTGTTGTCCAATAGCTGCTTTTTAAGAATTTCTCCATCCCCATCACCATGGACACCATCAATTCAATTCTGCTAAGTTGAAATCTTGAAATGGATGAATACATCTTAATCTGATGTCTCAGCTTTGACCAGTATGCTTTGGGTCCCCCTGCTAGAGGCTTAGACTCTTCATGGAATCTGCCTTTCTCTTGGTATTCCTCTCTGCTTCCTTGACACATAAACTCTCTCACCATGTTAAGGTGTGCATCCAAGAGGTGGTGCTAAATCACTAGAGATGGATAAAAATTTTGTGGCAGTTGTCATTACTGTTTTGTGTAAGAATGTTCCAAATTTCAGAGATTTCTTCATAAATGTTCCGGGAAGAGTTTTTTTAAAAATAGAGTCTTTTTTTTTTTTAAAGAGACTAACAGACCTACCTATTCAGTTGAAGTCCTCTGCGTGCTCAGCTGTTAAAATTAGACTTTGAATGTCTCTGTGTCTAACCCTATTTGCTTTATTGAACTTGAGTTACTTCCTCTTTCTTCCTGATAGACTTCTCTAAATATTACAGCTAAATGGCACAGCATAAACCTTTTCATTAGATAGTGCAGACAGCTGTGAATTTTGTTCCATTCAGTGTTGATGAGAACTTTCCAGAATTCTTATAGATGCAGAACTCATAAGATAGCCTTGTCTATTCTTAATAACTATGCTATAGGTCAGATACTCTGACACTCAATTAATAACATAATTTAAACAGCTTCAAGTAGACCTAAAGGATAGTGTCCTTTTAGGTCTACTGGAAGTTCTATCATCCTAGTATTACCTTGTAGTTTGACTAACGTAATTCATTTTAATCTTTATAACACTCCAGGTTTATGCTAGATGAACTAGTTCTTTGACAGAATGAGGGTGAAATCCATGCAGTTTCAAAACAGATCCAGACACCCATATATATTATTCTCCTTTGATCTACCTCTCTCAGTTTGGAAGGTTTGATGAGGTACTCATCAGCACATTTCCAAATCTCCCTAGCTACAAACCCAGAAGTGGAACAGGAAGTACATCATTATCTCTGGACACAACCTAGCTGGAGGTAAGCACCTATCAATTCCATTTACTTCAGTAGAGAGAATGAAACATATTCTCATTAAACTGTCCAAAGTCATAGAATTTCAGCTACTCAGATTTGTCAAGTTCACATTACCCATATAGGAAATGTGAGAACATCACCACACTTCCACAAACTGAACTACTTATTGGTAAAATTTGCTGAGAAAAAGAAAGGCAAAGAAACAAATATGATTTAACTGAGAATTGTCTCTGAATACTGGTCCATATGGCCCCAGGATTTTACAGATGCTGGAGGAGTCTATGCAGGCCCAATTGCTCATTCAAGTTTCTGATGCAAAAGACAAATTGTTTCTTAACTCACATGTCTTGCTAATTTTAGCTTTTTTACTTATTTCCTAAGAGACATACCATAGCAACCCCACTCTGCCCTGAAGTCTTCTCATGTAAGGAGGGATTTATATATTTTAAAAAAGAAATAAACAAACTTTTAGGGTTTGTTTTCTTTTTATGTTTCATATGGTTTTGATAATATTTTGTAAGGCACCCAGAGTAGTGGAATGTTCACTAAATGGGTGGGATATAAATCTAAATAAATAAAGTTACACACGCTTTTTTTAAAAAAAATCAGTGAATACAGATCCTGTTATCATCAGGGTGGCTTGTGATTTGAACAGGCCAGGAGCTCACCCCAAAATTTCAAGATTCATGTATGCAGATTTTGGGCCACTAATAGTTCACGTGCATCCACAAGTGCCAGTTAGAATAAAAATCAGTACAGCATTTTGATGAACATTGAGGCAATGAAACAAAAGCCAAAAGCTTTTGCCAGTGGTAGTTTGCTCTGATTTCTAAACACAAAAATGGAACTTTAGAAAAACAACTTACCTAGGTGTGGTAGTAAGGAAATATGATTTCTAAGCAAAACACAAAGAAGAAAGCTTCAGTTTTCACATATTTCAAACCAGGTCAATCAGAAAACAATGCAATGTTGCTCATCATAAAGTTACTTTCTTACTTCCATCCTGGACTACATCTGTGTTGCATGCCCTGACTACAACATAATGGCTAGAACCCAAAGAGGCTACTAAGTCACTTGGGCACACAGAGATGCATGTGTGTGCCATTTTTTTCCTTTAGGCCTCAGCCTCCATATTCAGAGGGTCTGCAAACTTTCAGGGATAGTTTTTCATTTGACAAATGGGAGCAGGGATTGGCAAGGAGGAAATGCATGCCTGAAAACAGCCAGCCTTATATGTATACACAGGTCTGCAGTCAAGTCTTTGGTTAAATAAAGGATTTTAAATGGTACACATGTGTTTTTGCACAAAATGTGCTAAAGCTCAACAGAAATAAGCAAATGGACTCAATGACACTCGTATTTCTGTTTCACCTTGCTTAATTTGTCTCTACGCAGTCTGTCACTCTCACTCAATAGCTCAAATCCTGTTGCTCAGCTACGTGGGAATAACATGAAATTGCAGAAGCAGTAGGGGGAAAAAAATCACTTCATGGAAGAAGTAATACCCACGAAGCACTTCTGCCGCTGTGTCACACAACAGCCCCAGTGTGAACAGTGTGATCAATTGCACAGCCACAGTGTGAACCATGTAACTGAAAATCTTGCCACTGTGAACCATACAATTGCACATCCCTGATGTGAACGATGCAATCGTTATGTGAACCACATGATTATTTGTGCAGTGCTGGCTGCCGAGGTGTAATGGCCCAGCATAGTTTCACAGACATAACTTTACTATACGCCTGCTTAAACAGGATTTCAGCCAATGAAATCAATGAGAGGAAGAGAGGAAAATCAGGGTGGCCCAAGTTTCAAGTGACTGGTTAGAGCTAGCAATATCAATCTGTTCAGCACTATAAAGGCAAATCTAATAAGGGAAGCATTGTTTTGAGCTGAGTTTAAAGGAGGTTGGCACTGGACAAAAACAAAGAAATAGCCACTGCCCATAAACATATGATCTAAACATTTGCAAAGGAATCAATTTGTTTAGGACTTATTTTTATTTGAGATGGGGGGTACAAAATCATTGCAACGCTTTGGAAGCAGTAATCGTACAGTTCCAAGAATGTTATAGAGTGATATTTAGCCTAGTAGAATTTTACTCAACTGAAGCAATGGATTCTTTTGACTTCTAAAAATTCAGGACTAAACTGTACATTATAGACAGCTTGTCAACTCAAAGAGAAAATCTGCTGAAAATGTCTGGTTGTCATAGCAGGTGCTGTTCAGACCTCACATGGTTTGCAAATTAGCTTGTTTCATTTTGTGATCAACCAGTTGGATGCTATAAGGAAATCCTAGTATGGGATAAAATAAATTTCACCTGGTGTAATGAGGCAGGTTGCACTCCTATGCACACTTGTATAGGGATCCTTCAGTCTCGAGAGACTATGGTAATGTGCTCTGAATAGAGGTCTTGAAACATTATGGAGTGTGGCTGAGAAGGCCAATTTGAGAGTGACAATCCCTCCCACACTGAAGACAAATACAATCTGTCCCCTGTCCAGCTCCATGATTTTTCTGGTTTTGGGACTGCCTCTTTACCTTGGCCTGCTGAATAGGTGTCCCTTCAATGCCTGCATCTAGGCTGAGCATCCAGATGTCAAGGTTTCCCATTTGTTCCCACCTTCAGATCCCACTTGCAGATGTCCTTGCATTGCAGCTGTGGTCTCCCTCTGGGATGCTTTCCCTGCACAAATTCTCCATACAGGAGACCTTTTGGAATTCGACTGCCAACCATGCACACTTACTTGGGTGTCAGTCTGACTGAACTCAATGGACCTTACATCTGGCCAGGTGTGTACTGATCAAGTTGCAGAGTAAATGTCTCCTGCTTATGAGGATTTTCAACTGAGCTCTCTGCAGTGTAGCTCAAAGCAATTAAGAAGGGAACAAGTGGAAGATATTTGTTGGGATAGCAAGGCATCTCAACATTTCAGGTTATGGTAGCCATTGCACACCACGGAGACCTTTTGGAATTCGACTGCCAACCATTCACACTTACTTGGGTGTCAATCTGACTGAACTCAAAGGACCTTACGTCTGGACAGGTGTGTACTGATCAAGTTGCAGAGCAAATGCCTCCTGCTTATGAGGATTTTCAACTGACCTCTCTGCAGTGTAACTCAAAGCAATTAAGAAGGGAACGAGTGGAATATCAAGGCATCTCAACATTTCAGATTATGGTAGCCATTGCACACCACCAAAGAAAGGAAATCTATTACAAAAAGACCACAAAAACTACAGATTTACATATGCATATATGTGCACATTTAGAACTAATCAATACCATTAAACATTAAAAACACCTCACCATAGTGTGAGAGACTGTGTCCAGAAGTGAGCTGCTTGTTTGTTCAGCATTGGTTGTCCAGAGGCTGACTATTAGCAGCCAACCTCAGGACCTCTGCTGCTTCTTAAGATTCTTTGATCAAGATGCTGTTCAATGGTGTCAAGGAAAAAGCCCCCATGCCAGCATAGTTAAGGTCCATTCCTTCATGGAATGCACCTTAACTATGCACTTCATGGAGATTCTAGAAAGTGTCTTTGAGCAGAGATTTTTTCCTCTGAGACCAAATGAGTTTCCTTTGTAAATGAGAGCACGAGGACTCAGTAATTCAGATTCAGCACCCATGATAAATGTTGTCTTTCATTCAAAATGCTTATGCAATGACCATTATTATCAGAATTCCAGAATGGATTTTCATAATGTATTCAAGCATCTGGCATTGTGTGGATACACCCTACACTCACATGTTCCTTACTTCTCTATCCTTCATGTACTCTGCTGTTCCCATTTTGCACCTGACATGGCTGCAAGTCACCATTTGAGAACACATACCTTGGTATCTTCCTTTTTTCCAGGCTTGGGAGCTTGAATAAAGACATTTTGCAAATTAGTATATTTCCCTTGTTTCCTGTATCTATTAATATCCAGGTACGATAAAGCCAAAAATGATAATATGGGGTATTAGTTTCAAAACTCAGCCTACATTTCCTGCCTGACACATGTTCCTTACTTCTCTATCCTTCATGTACTCTGCTGTTCCCATTTTGCACCTGACATGGCTGCAAGTCACCATTTGAGAACACATACCTTGGTATCTTCCTTTTTTCCAGGCTTGAGAGCTTGAATAAAGACATTTTGCAAATTAGTATATTTCCCTTGTTTCCTGTATCTATTAATATCCAGGTACGATAAACCCAAAAATGATAACATGGAGTATTAGTTTCAAAATTCTGTTAGCCTACATTTCCTGCCTGGGCTGCTTTCAATTAAGCAGGCATCTTGCAAAGTTTACTGTACTATTATTGTACCTTTATTATGTTTATTATACGATGCAGGATAGCAGACATAACCCTATAGATATAGATACAAAAGAAGGTGGACTCAGGGTTCTGTGCTTTACTTGTATACAGTAGGAATGCTGTATCCACAGGATCAGTAACTGTGGTTTCACTTATCCACTGCCTGAAAATATTAAATTAAAAACCCCTAGAAATATGCATTTCCATAGTGTATTACCAGAAATGGCCACTAAAGCAGACCAGAGATTATGGTACATATAGCGTTTCTATTCCAATAGTTTTTAGCATCAACTGGGGCTGGGAAGTAACCTTCTGTGGATACTGTAGTCCTGCTGTAATCAAAGTTCAGTTTAGTGCCACTTGCATTCAATTATAACAATTGGTTGGCCAGATATTTGTGCAAGCAAAAACTTTACAAGTCAACCTACACATCTTGCATACAGGCATCTAGATCAGATTAAATATTACAAGGTTGGAGGAAGGGGACAACAGCCGGAAGGATAGGCTGATGGATAATAAAAAAACAATAAAAAATTATTACAGCAAAAGCAAGGCATAAATAATCCCATGAGCAGCAAAGAGTCCTTATGCAAAGGGTAAACTAGGATAGACATTGACATGCTTTTGCAAAATCACTATGTGAGCAGAAAAGTGCAAGGTTAGGTGCGTTATTAAGATTCTCCACTGCTAGTGACAAAGGTGGAATTATCTCTGTTTGCACTTGATGAAAAACTAAACAAACTGAAATGCAGTGACGTCCTGGCATTTGCACTTCTGACTTTTTAGGGGAGTTCTCTGATTAAATTATCCACACACATATGGGAAAGTGTTTACTGTGCATTTATTTATTTATTGAAAATATTTTTATCCTGCCTTTCTCTTTTAAAAGGACCCAAGGTAACGTACATAATTAAAAAGACAGTATTTAAAAGCTGAAAACAGTAAGCATACAAATCTTTTAAAAAATGAAACAAATAGTATATATAAAAATGGTAAACAAAATCAGTACTAAAACACATTTAAAACAAGTGTTCATTTTGGTGTAACATAAAGTTATGCCAGCATAAGTATACCTAGTGTTACATCCAAACAGTAATCATTGCACTCTTTGGTTGTGCAATCAGTCACATAGTTTACAGTGTGCCCGTTGCACAACAAGCATGCAGAAATGCTTTGTGAATAGCACTTTTACCTTGTTGTGATTCTTCCTACTGCTGAGGCAGCTTCATATTATGTACTCATAGCTCCACAACAAGATTACAGCGCTAGTAGAACATTTCAATACATTAGGGAGAAATGCTTGTAAAAAATGTGTGTTGGACAAATATATACAAATAAGAATTAAGAGAAATGTGTACAGAAATACACAACAGTGTGCATGTATTTTCATGTGGAATTGTGGGGTAAAACATCATACTGAAGATATCCATTGCTACCCACTGCAGGGCTAGCCAAGCTTATACTTACTACAAACTGATGTACTCTGGAAATAGATAGCTAACAATGGAATGTGTGAAGGAAGGAAGCAATTGATAGAACTCACGGTGTGCAAGTTCCTGATCAGAATTAATGGAACTCTCTGGCTGGGTCAGGTAAGACATTGATTCTTCATACATGTTCAAGTCATCCGTTCTGGTAGTAAGAGAAATGGGGAAGGAAAGCATTATTATCTAAACCATTCCTATGGAAAAGAGAGAGCTGATGTAACATCTGAGCACTCAAAGCAAAAAGAACACATGAGAAAATGCCAAAGAAGAGGAGGTAAAGGTAAAGTTATCCCTTGACATTTAGTCCAGTCATGTCCAACTCTAGGGGACGGTGCTCATCTCTGTTTCCAAGCCATAAAGCTAGCCTTTATCCGAAGACAGTTTCTGTTGTCACATGGCCAGCATGACTAGACACAGAATGCCATTACCTTCCCACCAAGGTGATGCTTTTGAACTGCTAGGTTGGCAGGAGCTGGGACAAGTGACAGGAGCTCACTCCGTTGCGTGGATTCAATCTTACGACTGCTGGTCTTCTGACCTTGCAGCACAGAGGCTTCTGCGGTTTAACCTGCAGTGCCACCATGTCCCTTATATTTATTTATTTATTTATTTATT